TCAGGAACAGAAAACCAAACATCGTATGCGCTCACTCAAAAGTGGGAGCTAAGCTATGAGAATGTAAAGGCATAAGAATGACACAATGGACTTTGGGGACTTGGGGGAAAGGGTGGGAAGGGGTTGAGGGATAAAAGACAACAAATTGTGTGCAGTGTACACTGCTCAGGTGATGGGTGCACCAAAATCTCACAAATCACCACTAAAGAACTTATGTAACCAAATACTACCTGTTCTCCAATAACCTATAGAAATAAAAAATTTAAACAAACACACACACACACACACACAAACACACAGAAACTCTGGCAAGGTTTTGTATAGGTCTTCCGCCTATATCCAATTTAATTATTGCTGCACTGTGTTCTCTATATTATTGCAGCAGGAAAACCAAATGCTCTCCAAGGGGCTCGGCACTTTTTGTCCTTTACTAACAAATATCAGAAACATTTATCATTCACTAATTTGCAGGAGATTTTGTGAAATTTTAGAGTAAATGATTAGATTACTGCATTCTTCAAAAAATAAATTGCTGGTAAAATTGTAGATTTTTATTCTCTTACTCAAGATTCTTAGTTTTTAAAATCTCATTAATTCCTACAATTTCATGTTACCACACCTAATATTTCAAGATACCATATACACTTAGGACAAAAGTTCATGGTTCATAATAATCTTGTGAATAATTTTGAAATTTGCTTAATCTGTCAGATCAGATCACTGTTTTAACTATCAAGTAGCTGAGAAAAGCTGGAACTGGCACACACATTGAGCAAAGCCAAATCATTGCAGCTTCTGCTTACAATATTGTTATCCTCAATTCACTGTTTTTTAAAAAAAACAGGAATTCTATTAAGTCAGCATCTGTGAGAGTCATTTTAATGAAAACTAACTCTAGTCCACAAGTCCATTTAACTAGTACACATGAATGGCAATATTTCACAATTGGCTAAAAGCAAACAAAAGAGTGGGAGTTCCAGTAGCAACCTTTCTCACTTAAAATGCCATGCCTCCCCCCTCCTACCCATTCCTCTCAGACTGATTTCTGGTCAGTGCGCCAGGAAAAAAAATTGGGGATGCCAGTGGCAATCCTTATGTATTATCAGTAAAGCTAATCTCTCAATACTTTTTAACGGAAAAAATAGGAAATCACAACTTTTTTCCTGCATTTTAATATATCATCTAGTGTCCCCCTGGGGTGACCACCATCACTCTGCCTTGTTCAAAGACCACTGATCTCATCTATATTATGGAGCTTAGATGTTATTTTAGCAGCATATGAAAAACTCAAAACAGAGATAAATCCTAATTGTTTACAGTATCTGGAGTCCGAACCCGGCCATACTTACTGGTCTGGTGAAAGTGATGGGGGCCAGGTCTGGAGGTTTGAGGTTAGCCCCTTCTCCCCTCACACTTATATGAGAGATGAAATAAAGAGAAGCCAGGCCAAATGCTTCTGTTGGGCCTTTTTCTGTGTCCCTGTCTCGTCTACATCATCATTGGAGCCCTGAGACTTAAAAACTCAACCTGGGAGTTCCAAAGCTCTATTGTATAATTTATTGCCCTAGAATCCTGCTTGCATCCCTCACCACCACCAAATACAACTTTAATGAGAATAGGAATGGGTTTAACCCAACTAAAGCATGAGAGGGAGGAGAAAGCAAGGAAGGAGGAAAATCTTCCTCAGTAGACGCTAGTCAGAAATATGAAGTACCCTTTTGAATGATGAACAAAAACAGTATATAGAAAGTGCACCTCTGCTCAGTAGATACTGAATACATTACAGTCATTATACTAAAAGATGAAGTTCAAAATTGGTTAAGGAAGAATCATTCTTAGGAGGTTAAACTAAGGCAAGTCTGCTACACACCCATACACAACCTTCTTAGTTTGGCATCACAAACCACTCTTTGGTCTAGGTAAACCAGAAGTCTCAATGTGTATGGAGAGTCCGTCTCTTGGAGTCCAGAGAACGTCTGTTATAAGGGGAAAACAGAGGCTCATTTCTGAGTTACCTCCAGAAAAAGGAAGCTTTTTTCGAGATTATAGATACCTTTGAACCAGAAAATCATCAGAAAAAAAGGAAGCCTCAAGTACAGACACCGTGGCTGTGTTCATAAGGCACGTGCACACATCCAGGGGTTCTGGGAGTCTTCCTGCAGGAGCACTCTACTCTCCCGTCCACCAATGCGCTGTCTTGGCTTACTCATTTTCTATTTCTTAGTCACATCAACGTGTGCTCAGCCCCTCATTGCTACTGTAGCCACTATCTCATCAGCATGACTTTTAAATAGAAGTTCTTATGGATGACTAGAAAATTATCTTAAGCTCGTTCATTCACTCCAACATTTACTGAGTGCATAATATTTACAAAGCAAGGTCTTGAAGGTGGAGATGCCCGGCTTTTTTTTTTTTAAATCAGGTTTTCAACCATGACCTTACAGTCTAAGGGACTAAAGAGAGGTAGAAAAAAATATAAGTTATTTCATAACACCAAAAATAAAACCTGATTTAAAAATGGGCAAAGGATTGAATAGACATTTCACCATAGAAGATATACAAATGACCAAAAGGCACAGGTAAAGATGTCCATTGTCACTAATTAGGGAAATGCAAATCAAAACTCCAATGAGATACTACTCTCAAACCCATTAGGGTGGCTACTATTAAAAACCCAAAGTGTTGGCAAGAATGTGGAAAAATCACAAACCATATAAAATGATGCAGCTGCTGTAAAAAAGACAGTATGGCAGTTCCTCAAAAAGTGAAATGTAAAATTCCCATATGATCCAGCAATTCCACTTCTGAGTATATGTCCCCCAAAATTAGAAGCAGGATCTCAAAAAGACATTTGTATATCCACATTTATAGCAGCACTATTCACAATAGTCAAAAGTTGGATTGAGACCATCCTGGCCAACATGGTGAAACTCCATCTCTACTAAAAGTACAAAAATTAGCCGGGCATGATGGTGCGTGCCTGTAATTCCAGCTACTCAGGAGGCTGAGGCAGGAGAATTGCCTGAACCAGGGAGTCGGAGGTTGCAAGTGAACTGAGATGGCACCACAGCACTCCAGCCTGGCAACAGAGCGAGACTTCGTCTCAAAAAAAAAAAAAAATGTTGAAAGCTCCTCAACTGTCCACTGATGGATTAATGGATCAACAAAATGTGGTATAGGCATGCAATAGTATTCAGCCTTAAAAGGAGGGAAATTCTGACCCATGGTACAACATGCATGAACCTTGAAGACATTATGCTACATGAAACGAGCTAGTCATAAAAATCACAAATACTATATGATTGAACTTATACGAGGTACTTAGACTTGTGAAATTCACAGAGACACAAAGTAGAATGTCTGTGAGAGGAGGAGGTAGGTGTGGGAATGGGGAGTAGTTGTTTAAAGGGGCACAGAATTTTAGTTTGAGAAGATGAAAAGCGTTCTGTGGATGGATGGTGGTGATGGTTACACAACAATATGAATATACTTAATGCCACTGAACTGTACAATTAAATGATGTATTTCACAATAATTAACACACACAACACAAGTAGCATTTCCAATGATGAGACGTTCCATGGAGAAAAACAAAGACATGTGTGAGAGGGAGTGCTGGGAAGACTGAAACACTTGGGTAGAGGACAGGTTTCCTCAGAGCATGTGAGAATTAGACTCCAGGAGATGAGGTATGAGCTGGGACTCTGGGCTTGCTGCAGGCAGCAACATGAACAAGGATAGGAGGTGTACCAAGATGAATTCTGAAGCACCCATGCCAGAGGGTGGCCTCCTCGCCAATGGTGCCTTGGAAACACACAGAACTATGGACTCTCTCCTGCCTCCTGCCCTTGGTCTCATGAAGGGGTAGAGAGTATCCTGGTGTTCATGGTAGGAATTATGGCCTTCTCAATTTGCAAGTATAGAAACCTCTGTACTTTATTGCCTCCCTTTAAAAGTGTAATTAGCCGTGCCACCTGCCCCTGGCATTGGCTAAATATAAGTATTAAATATACTGCCTCGAAGGGTGCTATGGGTGCCTGCCAGTAACAAAGCCCTTGTTAAAAGTTCTGACAAATGGAATCTCATTGTTCAACTCGTATTTTCATATCATACCACTTCACAGGTTGCTGGTGACCCTCACATCAGCTCCCACTGCTTGTCTCTTCAGTGGCTTTATGCCGTGATGGGGTGGGTTCACGTGGCGGCATTGGGACATCAGAGAATTAAGAGTACATGTATCCTATTACTATATAAATGTATTATTATTATTTCGAGACAGAGTCTCACTCTGTCACCCAGGTTGGAAAGCAAGCTGGTGTGATCGCAGCTCACTGCAGCATCCACATCCCAGCATCCACATCCCAGGCTCAATCAATTCTCCAGCCTCAGCCTCCCAAGTAGCTGGGACTACAGTCATATGCCACCATGCCTGGCCCACTTTTCCATTTTTTGTAGAGATGGGGTCTTGCTGTGTTGCTGAGGCTGGTCTGGAACTCCTGGGCTCAAGCGATCCTTCTGCCTCCACCTCCGAAAATGCTGGGATTATAGACATGAGCCCCTGGATCTGGCCTTACTATATAAATTTAAACAATGCTTAACACTTGAATATTAGCTTTATTCTAAGGTCGGTGCTAGAAAGAAAATCATACATGTCTCCTTAGTAACTCATAGTGAAGTTAACCATCATCATTTAATGTAGGTCATAATAGGTTCCATTAATATTTCATATTTAATGATTAAAGCTAAATCAGATCAAAACCATCCCATTTTAAATGCACAATTCTAGATGAATAGAAGTATTATCACGAGGCAGTAGTCTAAGCTGTTTTGATGTTTAAAGATAAGGCTTTCTGACATCCATTCATAAATATAAACAGAAAATAAACAGTTTTTCATAATTGTTTTTTAGCAAAACATGATGCCTGATTATCAATGGTAGCAGAAACAAAGAGTTTAATACTGTTAGAGCAAAGCGAATACAACTTTGAAAAACTACTTACATCCAAAGAGTCCTCCTTCAATAGGATGAGGGCCATATTCTGCGATACCAATCGGCAGGAATACCCTGAAGTGCGGGAAGAGACAACGTGTGTGAATTTTTCTTTCCTTCTGTGAGCTCCTTAAATTCAACCTCCTTGATTCTCTCTGCCACTTTAAGCCTACTGGCTCACACAGAGGAACAGGGTAACAGTGAGGAGTAGGACAAGTACATTGATTTTGACTCTTGTAGACAGATTGAATAGAACCAGTTGGGAATGTCTTTATAACTAAAGGCTAAAATAAATACTTTCCAATTTTCAGTGGATTTTTCTTTCTCTCTGTTATCCTTGTATATCATTAAGATAAGCCTCGGGTTGTCTAAAGTGACTGAACACTTTAGGAAGGCAGTGGACCCCAATGGTGCCTCTCAATCAGCCCACACATGCCCACTGGGATAGCCAGCTCCCTCCCTTTAAGACAGCAGCCAGTTCTCACAACAGGTTTCAAAGGAATACACTGAGGGAGTCACTCTTCCTGTGAAAAATTTAAAGTAATCCACGTTTCAAAAAAGTCTTTTTTTGGTTGTTACTATAAAAAGGCTTTAAAAAAAAAAAAAGGCTTATTTGGAACAAAAGTAGTCCTAGTTCTTAACAATTTCCTTCTCATTTTTCAGTCAAGTTATCTCTACAGGTTAAGCAAGATACTATTTTCTGCTTTCTCTCCCAGCAGAAGACCGTATTTTCGAAGAAGCCTTGGGTTGTTTTCTACCCACACTTCGCCCTGGGTGAGCACTCGCGGACCAAGACGAGCCCCTCTCGGGATGCCTCCCCTCCGATCCACACCCTTGGTGGGGAGGAGAGGGCTCTAGCAACTCCAAGACCAGAGGTGCCCACCGGCGCACTGGCCTGTCTCTCAGATCACCCTGCCATCCTCTCGGTGCCTTGAGGGGTTAGCGATCACTTGTGCTTTCCACCAAACCCCAACTCAATCTCTCATTGAGAAAAGGCAAGAAAAAAATCCTCCTCCAGAGAAAATCGGCCCTCACAACTAGTTTTGTCTCAGCACCTTAAGGTAACAGATTAATGATTATAGAAAAGGGAAATCAATCATCAGCCTTCAAGCAAACAGGTGACAGTCTCAAGGAACGGCTTGGCTAGTCCTGTTCCTACGGCCACGGGGAGCAAGGACTCTCCTCACAGGACAGGGAAGACGACGTCCTTCTCACAGACGCTTCACATGGCTAGAAAAGACGGCATTTACCTGAGGGACAAGCAGCAGAACGGCTGCATATATGTGCTCAGACCTACTAGCAGGTTCTCTTTTCATCCCCAAGAAATCCTCGCAACAGGCACAAAATGAAATTCAAGATAGACAAAACTTAAGACCAAGAAAAAACCCTGTTGTGGGTTTTTGGGGGAACGAAGGGATTGAAGGAAACAGTAAAAAAAATTTCGTTTGTTTATCTGAGAAAGTACATCCTTCCTAAGGACCACCATGTAGAACATTTTGTAAAGCACCTCCGAGATCAAATTTTAAAGGGCAAAATTACGGCTTTTCATCCAAATGTGAATTTTTGAAGGCAACATGAAAAAGACATAGCCAAGGTTGTTAACAACAGTTATCTCAAGGGAATCAGATTATTTCTCTTGTTAAAACAAACACATTATTGTTTTTAAAGCCAAAACAAACTGAATAATTTTAAATCACAATACCACATGGGCAAATACCTGTTAAATCTCTAAAACAAAAAAAAAAAAAGGAGGGGGGAACAAGGAGCAATTTTCTATACATTTACAAACTAGTTCAAGTCTGTATTTTAACAGTGATGGATAAAAGTGAGACCCTCTCAAAATGCCATTAAAAGCTCTGCCTGGTAGGACTGGAATAATCGAACTCTTTGTTTCCCATTAAAATTTTACAAATGCATTCTTCCTTCCTATAAGTTCTTAGATTAGGTCCAGAAGGGAGGTCTACATTTTCTTTTCACTTGCAAAGAGCGATATTGCAACTTTAATCATTTCCCTCTATGTTAGATTTACTCTTTCTTCATCCCCAGAGACTTCCAGCAACTTCATGCAATGTAGACTGTTACAAATTTAGTGTAACTAATGCAAAAAGATTTACTGGTAGTTTTTTATTTGAACAACAGCTGCAGAAGCCGGCTGTAATTTTTAAGCCCTCACTTGCTGCTTTATTTTATATTTTTCAATTTAAGCAAAATGCCATTTGACAACTGAAGCTACACAAAGATATTATGGAAAAACTCTTAAGTCTTTTTTTTCTAGCCATGGCTGGGGGAAGAGAAAAAAAAAACTACAGACACTTCCATGAATTTAAATGTACGAAACTGAAGACTTCTGAGAAGAAACAGGGTAAGGGTTTTGCTACTGTTGTTTTTAGTTTGGATCCGGAAGTGAGATTTTGCTTAGAGAATTATCAGTCGGAGCACTCGCACTAGACAGACCAGGGAAGTTTAACCCAGTTAATTGTGGCTTAACTAATGTAGCAAATTAAATTGTGTCAATCCACATTGGGTGTGCTTGATTTCTAATGTTTTTGGATAAAATGAGATCAACTCTTGGAGAAGAGCCAGGTATAGAATGTCAGTCCACACTTGTAAATTGAGGTCTACTTCTTTAATCTCGCAATCTAACAAGACGGCCATAAAATGACTGAGAGGAGAACCTCTGGGATTTCATTTTTTACTGTAGTTGAAATTAACAGTATACTACAAAACGGTTTAGTCTTTCTACTACCTGAGTATAATCAACATTCAAAGAAACCAAAATATTACAGAGTCTATGGTACTTACAGCAGGACTTGATTCTAATACAATAAGATAATGCTTCACACTAGAAAATACTACCAAACGAAATCTCTCAGCTCTCTCAACCAGTTTCCTCCTTGAAAACGGAGAACACTGGTTTTGATATCAAATCCAGATTTCTCTGGAGACATTTTTGAACAAGTCAGAACAATGTATCCTTACAAACCATGTATCCTGAGATCACGAATCCACCAAGCTACCCATCACAGGATTCAACATGGTACCAATCCGCAGTGAACATGTGACTGGTTCTCAACAGCTTTACAGATAATCCAGTCAGTCAGTCAGTGTCTGCACGTATGAAAACCACTGGCAGACAACAAGAACGCATGATGAAAGATGGTTTTTTTTTTTTTTTTTTTGAGATAGAGTCTCGCTCTGTCGCCCAGGTTGGAATGCAGCTGCGCCATCTCGGCTCACTGCAAGCTCCGCCTCCTGGGCTCAGGCTATTCTGCCTCAGCCTCCCGAGTAGCTGGGATTACAGGTGCCAACCACCACGCCCGGCTAATTTTTTATACTTTTTTCTTTTAGTAGAGACGGGGTTTCACCGTGTTATCCAGGATGGTCTCGATCTCCTGACCTTGTGATCCGCCTGCCTCTGCCTCCCAAAGTGCTGGGATTACAGGCGTGACCCACTGCGCCCGGCCTAAAAGATGGTCTTTTAGGCTATTCCAGGTAGGATCAAAGGAGCCCGTCCAGAGCCCCTTATCATCCAGAGAACCAGGGAGCTGAGGCCTTGGCCATGGAGCACACGCCTGGGCACTTCTCCCTCAAGCCCCTTCAGGCCCGTCTCAGGAACCCTCGCCACACAGAAGAACGCGCTGCCTCAGCCTCACCTCACGGCTCCTCCCCAAGATGGGACATCCTGGCCCATTCTATTCTGTCATTTTTGTTTTAAACAAATTCTGAAGGCTCAAGTTTTAAACGTGTCTCATCCAGGAAGACTCCTCTGGTCCTTTACAACCCATATTGTTCCTTCTGAGAAATGAACATTGTGTGCTGTGGTTAAGCGCTCAAGATTTTCAGCTTTCTCATATCTGTGTGACCTAGGCTAAGTTACTTCATCTCTCTGTTCTTCAGTTTTATCTTTAAAGGGGGATAATGCCTTTTAAATTCTCCAAGGGAATTAAATATAAAACATATGTAAAGGACTTAGCGGAGTATCTGGCACACAATAGATAATATTTGCTAGTAACTATTACAAAAGCCAGTCATGATTAACATCTACACTGCACAATTGGTGCTTCCTCATCTATTGCATTCTCTGACTTGTCTCATAATTAACTCGTGCCCCAAGTGTGGAATGGAAGTTCCCCAAGCTTATCGTAGAGCACCTGGCAACGTCAGCTGTAGGTCATCAAGAAATACAGGACTGAATCTTCCGTGAAAACCAGCAGTAAGATTGAGAGCAGTACCAGTGTTGCCACCCTCACAGTCCAGCTTCACCTGAGAATGGCAACTCACCTTCCTTTAAATGAACAAGAAAATGTACGGGCAATTACAGGAGGGCAAGTGACATATTGAGTCACTTCCTAAAATTAAACTTCAAAAATAATCTACATGTATCTCACATCATCCTATTGTTTACCTTAAATATACACAATAGAATTTATTAACGTTTTAAAAATAAACCTCTAAGACCGTAAGAAATGGTTTAAAAGTATCAAATGATGGGTAGCAAAATACAGGGAGGGTGGGGAAAAGACTTGAAATTTCAATTCAGAAATGTTTTAAGAGGAAAGCTAATGCCAACTTAACTACTTTAAAATGGAATACACACTAGGATTTTGTTCTCACTCATCCTACATCCATTAAAAAAAATTACAGACTCTGAAAACTCCACATCTACTGCATAACTATTTAATAGATGTTTTATCCAGTGGTAAGAAGGAAATGACCACTGTGAGATTTACCAGGGCTACATCTGAAATTTCACTTTAGACCAGCTGATGCCAAACTTTTAAGCTAGAAGAGAAAATCGCCAGCTCCTCAAAACACACCTAGTTAGCATAAATTCAAGCACAGTGCTGCAGGATTCTGGCAACAAGACCATTTCAAACGACTAAAACCTATGCACAAGATGATTGTCTATCTACATAAAATTCACTGGCTCATAGGAGACACATATGTCCTGGTACTTGATTTGACTAAGTGTATTTTTTTTCCAAGGTATGAACAAAATGTTAAGCTTTAAAAATAAATTCTCAAACTATGAGATAGATATACTTAAAAAAAAAAAAAAAAAACACTAAAAAGAGCCAACACCCCCAAACACCAAAGATAATTAATGTCGCCAAATCTACAGATGAACTCTTACTGTACATACCACTAAGATAATGCTGTCAATTAAAAGAGTAAGAGTCAACAACCATAAGGCATCCCCATTTCAGGGACATTAACATGTAACAACAATGTGCGCCTTGGAATAGATTAAATATACTACCATTCTCCATGGTCTTTTAAATCAAACTTCAGAAAACATTTTTTGCAAAAGCTATGTGAATCCCTCTAAATAAGCCCCACACCAGAAGTCAAGAGCCCTGACACCTAGTAACAGTTTGGTCATTAAGTAGGGTATAGCCCTGGGAAACGCAGAATTTCCTCCCCTAGCTATAGACTGTTCATATGTAAAGATTTAAAAAAGAGTTTTCACAACTCGTGCTTGAAGGTGATCTTGAAGCAAGTGCCTGGCACTTGCCAGACACTCCATTAATTTGCTCTGTTTCCCTTTTTTCATCTAGAAGGAGAACTGCTAGATACTTGATCTTCCCAAATATCTTCTGGATACCTTAAAACCCACACAGGACGCATGAAAATGTAAAGTATTACGGGAGACAAGTCAATAATGGTTCATACTACCATTATTGGTTCATACCAATACCATTATAGGGGTATGAGGGCTATGTGACGAGAAAAGGCTTAGAAACCCATGTATCTAGAGCATGACCTCACGCTGCTGACAGCTGCCACCTGTGGTCTGACACTGATAAGTCTAACAAAATGTCTGGACGTATATGCTTTCCTGAGCCTTCTGCATCATTTGTAGGCTCAACAGATACCTTAAATCATAAAACGACATTTAAATTCTCAACATCACCCAGGGCTACAAGCTTGAGTTCCAAAGGCTAAGTGAAGAAACAATTCAGACACAGCTCTCTCAAAGAAATCAATTCTCCAGCTGTTAGAAGCTTACTTGGTAACACCCAAGATGTGTTTGAATCTGACTGATACACTAGATAAAATGTGAATAGAGAAAGCCTCCATGATAAACGTAAGACTGACAAAAAGTCATCAGGTTATAAAGCATCATCTTCTAGTTGTCTTGGAGAGTACTTGCTAAGAAAGATCAGTTAAGAGATAGCAAATGATGTGAGTGGTTCTGGCACCAGCACTACATATGACTACACCCTCTTAGAAAAAAGTAAAAAATAATAACAATCGTTATTTTTAAAAAATTGTTTGGAATGGTATCAATTATCTCATAAGGCTCAGAGCAGCCTCATCACATACAAGCAAAACTTGCCTTTTCAATTAATAATCCATTTGTGTTTTCTGGGTTGATTTTCAGCGCCTTTCAGTGTTTATCCCAAATTTAGCTAGATAGACTCAGGTATAACAAAATGAACATAAAAAAAAAAAAAAAAAAAAGGCTGCATGTGCTCCCAGGGGCTGGGCAGTGTAGTGTGGATGAGAGGCAGTGAGAGGGAGCCGTGGCCCTTTTCCAGCCAGGGCACATCCAAGAACACACTGAAGGTAGTTTAGTCTAGGGCCAGTGACATGCATAGGTTATTAGGCCAGCAGGAACACTCAAGATCTGGAAAACTAAGAAAGGTTACCACTTTACAGCTCAATTTTTTTTTTTTGAGAAAGTCATCATTTTATTAACCCAAGATACTATATTTTACGGCCCATCATCAAAAAACTATCTAGGCTAATTGTGATAGTAGGGCAAATTTGAGGTATTGTTTGCAGGTTAAAGTTATCATACAGCTCAATTTTAACTTGAGGAGTTACCCACTCTTTTTTCACATTGCTCTAAGAGGGTGGAAGGCATGCCACCTACATTTTAGGTAAGTATTTCAGGGTGGCAGTCAACTTAGCATGCCATCTGTGATGAACAGGGGCCACAGATCCACAGCAGGTGTTTTAGGCCAAACTTATATGAAACATAACACGTAAAGGGCCAATCTATATACTTACACAGAAACATAGTATACAAAAAGCAAATGTGTTCTTCATTTGTAAAAATGCTGGCCGACACATCATCAAAGGGCTGTAAGCTTGGGTTTGTATTTTCTAGTAGCAGTGATGATTCTGCACTGAAATACCATCATACTCTTCTCCAAAACCATGCATCTGAGTGACAACCGGCACAAATCCAGGGACAACATCTACAGCTGGTTTTTCAGGGACTGCTTATGAATCCTATGTCACTCTCTTGTGAGCTTAACTTCAGTTGTTTGGGAGCCCACCTTCCATTTAATCAGCTATATCCCTGACCAGAAACGACTACACGGCTTTTGTCTTTTAAAAAATCCAATTTACCCAAGACGGCAGGTATTATTTACAACCGAGGTTGTAAGAGACAAAGACGATTCAAAGGTAAGGTTTTCAGGAAAGGGACACCGTTGGATTCTGTTGAGAATATTCCAAGAACACTCCTCTGAAGAGCACTAGTCACTCGAATACAGAGGCTCTAGTAGGTTTCTTCCTCACACACAGAGCACCGACATAGAACCAGATACAGAAACAGAGTCTACCTTGGCCGGGCGCGGTGGCTCACGCCTGTAATCCCAGCACTTTGGGAGGCTGAGGAGGGTGGATCACGAGGTCAGGAGATCGAGACCATCCTGGCTAATACCATGAAACCCCATCTCTACTAAAAATACAAAAAACTAGCCGGGTGTGGTGGCGGGCGCCCATAGTCCCAGCTACTCGGGAGGCTGAGGCAGGAGAATGGCGTGAATCTGGGAGGCAGAGCTTGCAGTGAGCCGAGATTGCGCCACTGCACTCCAGCTGGGCAACAGAGAGAGACTCCATCTCAAAAAGAAGGAAAGAAAGAAAGAAACAGTCTACTTCTAGCGAGATATTATAAGTTATGCGGTCCTTATGTGCTCATTTTACCACATATGCACCGGGTCTTGTTACACCATAATGGTGATCAAAGTACCAGACAGACCAGGCATGGTGGCTCATGCCTGTAATTCCAGCACTTTGGGAGGCTGAGGCGGGTGGATCACGAGGTCAGGAGACGGAGACCATCCTGGCTAACAGGGTGAAACCCCAATTCTACTAAAAATACAAAAAATTAGCCAGGTGTGGTGGCGGGCACCTGTAGTCCCAGCTACTCCGGAAGCTGAGGCAGGAGAATGGCATGAACCCGGGAGGCAGAGCTTGCAGTGAGTCGAGATGGCGCCATTGCACTCCAGCCTGGGCAATAGAGCAAGACTCCGTCTCAAAAAAAAAAAGTGCCAGATAATGTTTAAATATTTCAAATAATCAAGATTAGATTTTTTAAAAACGAGTAGCTTCAACTCCTTTTCAAACTTAAAATGTGCTCCTTTAACAATGGCATAGTTATCCTGACTTAAATTCCTTTTCTTCAATTTTCATCTCTGTGATGCTCTGTAAGCAAGGAAGTTGTCAACCAAGCTGGGCAGGGAAAGACACAAGGCTCTTAGAAGAGTCCATTAATGGGCAAAACCATTAAAATGGTTATAATTACATAAAATAATAAGGCAGATTTAAACCTAGTGAAAACATGCTCTCTTAGTCTCAGACTAAAATCTTGTGAAGCAAGCAACAAGAAAATCGAAGCTGTCAAATCTTGAATTCTATGCCCTATGTAAGTGTGTCTAACTCTTTTCTAGGAACTGATGGTTTTAATGTTTGTAACAGGAATGAGGGCATCTTCATTTGATTCGGGTCAATTTTTCTTAGCCTTGTGAATGAAGAGTCCTATAAAACACCATGTGTCAATGAATTTGAGAAACATTTAGACACATTTACAAGATACTCGAAAAACTAGAATACAAAAGCCAGCATCAGGAAACTATTTGTAAAAATCATTACCTATATTAATCGCAGTTTCTTGTTTGTCTCCTGTCAACACCCATATTTTAATTTCTGCCTTCAACAGAGTTGCGATGGTTTCTGGAACTCCTGCTTGAAGGCGATCTTCTATGGCTGTGGCTCCTAGTAGCAGTAAATTCTAGATTGAAAAAATATCCTCAGTTAAAGACTGGCACATACTTAAGAACAGCACTAATACATTCTGACAAAGAAAGGCAATCAAACTGTTCTGAGACAGTTGTTCTATTTCCTGTTTTACACCTGTGTCTGCAGATGGCATCTGGATGGGTGGCATTTCCAAATGCCTTGCAGTGATGGACTCATTCTACAGACACAGGCCGCCCAGTACTCACTGATTTCTCGACACAGGGGCTTGTTAGAACAGAAACCATCTTACAGCAGAGCAGATGGGCAGGTTATTCCAAGGACACTAACAGTACCTGAGCCCTCCCTTTCAGTCCACAAATGAGTAGTACATTATATCACATTTAACAAATGATGAGAATTCTAGATGATACAGCAAAATAGGAATAAGAGACTTGTGCTGCTAAGGATTTAACAGTGAGAGAAAAAAAAACATGCAAGTATCTTAAGATTGAGGGTAGCTATAAAACGGTGCCCCTTTTGGAGCTCTTTAAGGTCCAGGGCAGACCAGGTCACACTGAGGATGGGTGTGGATGTGTGGTTCCCTCCGGCTGCCTGTGCTGTGCCTGCTGGTCTGGCAGATTTCAGAGACTACACAAAGGGCCTGCTCCATGTACCCACATCCTAGTCTCTCCAGGATATAGCACCTTTGCTTGGTCACAGACTGTGGGAAGATCCAGCTACCTCTTGAGCACCCACCATACGCACGTCACCTATTTAATCACTTTTTTCTAATTCTAAAAGTAATGTGGGCTATTTCCAGTAAAACAGGGCAAATAAACACCTGAATTCAGTTTTATTCAGTTCATTTTAATTCGGTACATTAAAATGACTGAATATACATAACTGAATATAAAACTGAAACCAAAAACGGAGTATAAAAAAGCAGAGGAGAATTTTTTAAAACCAACATAGGAATGAAAAAAAGTAAATAGGTGATGTTTTCAAAGTTACGGAAACTGGGCCAGACATGGTGGCTCAAACCTGTAATCCCAGCAGTTTGGGATTTGGGAGGCCCAGGTATGAGGGCTACTTGAGCCCAGGAGTTTCAGACCAGCCTGGGCAACATAGCAAGATCCCATCTCTACAAAAAAATATGAAACTTAGCCAAGCATGGTAGCATGATCTTGTAGTCCCAGCTACTCGGAAGGCTGAAGTGGGAGGTTAGCATGAACCCAGGAGTTTGAGGCTATAGTGAGCTATGACTGCGCCACTACATTCTAGCCTGGGTGCTGGGTAACAGAGGGAAACCCCATCTCTATATTAAAAAAAAGAAGTCATAGAAACTGGAAATTGGATGGCCCTATGGCTGCCAACATGAAACAGAAAAAGCTGAAATCTGGCTCCCATACTTGAAGGAAACCAATAAATTGAAAGTGAGCTAATGCCTTACGATAAGCTGAAAAGAACAACAACAGTAAAATCAAAGTAGACAATGTGGAGTAGCCATTGCAAAGCTTAAGTATCATTAGAGTAAGTTAGTGGAGGAAGCTTAGCATTACAACATCTAACCAGCCTCCATAGCATTCTGATCACTCTTGTAACTCAACAGCGTGAGCTAATCTCATTAAGCCTAATCTTAAGCAAAGTCATTGATGCTGTTTTTGACCTGATATTTCTTAAGCTATCAATAATGCTTAGCTGAGGGTGGCTAGACCTTTCAGAGAGACCATGCAAATCAAGTGCTTCCTAAAGCAAAGAAAATGACTCAGAGCTACTGGTCCATTAAGACACAAGAAAAGAGAACATCCCTACATAGTGAAAGGATTCCTGGTCAAAGACTTTGTGAAATAGGTTGTTAAGTTCCTCATGGAGCTGTAAAGGCTGTATTGGGTGCGGTTACCTTCTCAATGATCTCGTAACACTCTTCCAACCGTTGAGCTCTGTCCTTCAATATGGTGCTAGCTTCCTGATAGACTTTCAGCCACTCCTCATACTCATTCTCAGAGAGATCAGCATAAGCCACACAGAGAGTCCGCAAGCCTGCAAGACAGCCACCGGTGAATGGAGGCAGGCAGAACGCGTGACCTCCTAGGGGACAGCCTGTGCTTCCTTTCCCATGAGCATGCTCAAAAAAATTGAAGAGACTCGGTACTTTAGGTCACTCTAATTCAACACTCCCACATCTACCAAGGGAAATGTAATAACAACTCGCCTGTATTCTAATATAAACTACCTCTTCTGTAAGTCTGAGAGCACAAGAAGTCAGAAGAGTGAATTCTCCATGGCAGAGAGGTTCAGGAGCTGTGCATGATCCATGCACAGTAGGCAGGTTTCAGCAGCAAGCAGAGGAGGTGGGAAGTGTGTTTCAAGACAGCAAGGAAAGGCCCCATGTGCTATCCCATGAAAGATCCAGGCTTTCAGGCAGCCACACCCATGCACATGTGTCAGTTGTACTCACATGTGCATGCAGAGCCAGAGGCCAGAAAGCAGCCGTCAGCACTTCAGCGTGGCTCCAGCTATCACGACATTCGCTAGCAGGAACCCCTGACACCAGTGTCGTTTACGGCCTTCCAGAGAACTCCTTTCCTGCTCACTATGGGTTCCATGAATTATTATTTCCTTAAGTCACGGATAAGCCAGTGACATAAGGACACCAAGAGAGGGACAGGAAAATAACCACGTGAGTTTTCTGAGAAAGGGACTAGTAACTAAAGGTGATTCTACACGCTGTGCGTTGGCCTGCCTCTCCCTCCGCTCCACTGCTCATGAGCCACAGAGGCATCTACAGGTAACTGAGTTTGGATTTGGCTATGCATCTTGTCACTGCCATGGGCACAGGAGGGGATGGGGCAGGCACTGGAAGAATGTGCTCCTGGAAATCAAGACAACATGCTTGAAAGTACAGCTCCAATGGCCAAAAACAGCACTTCCAAATTCCACTTACCTTCCGTGGCAAAGTATTCCAGATGGCATAATGTTTCCTCCATATATTTTGAGTCTTTTGAAAGTCTCTCAAAAATTACATTATCCTATAAAATAGGGAAACGTTGTGACTGGCAAACCCTTCAGTAAACCTTCCAGCCAGCACGCTAAGCATGGCTTTGTTTCTGTTTATCTAACATGCATGAGAATACCCGAGTGGGTAAGTAGGAATTTAGCATTTGGCTGGGCTCAGGCATGAGCTTTGGAAAACAAATGGGGTATGAATGTGTCCAACAAAACCAAAATCTGTATCTTAAAAGCCAAACAAAAATATGCTGGGGAGAACCAGAAGTACGGGAGAATCATCGGAACACAAGGGGGCCTATATTCACCAAAATTCGCAAAACTCATATCCCAAAGTTTATCAGGTGCTTGTGCAGAAGGGGAAAGGGTAAAATGCACATCCTAAGTTACTCAAATACAACCTTGCTTCCCAACACGGGAGGCAATCCTAAGCATAGACGGCACAACCCACTGGGCGCTGAACTCAATTCCGTCGAGAAACACACAGGTGCACAGCTCATCTGCCTACAACTATTTCCATGACTGACAAGAAGGGTTAGGGGACCAGATCCCACAGATAATCCATCAAATATGTTACAAATTGCATAGTTTTAGGCTTCTAAAAAAATTTTTTTAAAACTGAGTTTGGTTTTGGAGAGAATTAAATCCTATAAAAATAAAATACACCTTTGCAGCATTTTCATATGTACCTCTTCTATACTGACAGCCCTCCTCTACCACCTCACACTGACACTTGTTGTACTCGATGTGGTACTTAGAACACAATAGCAAATGAATAAACAAAAAGCTTTAAAAATATATCATATGAGAACAAAACCTAGATGAGCTTAATTCATTTTACCATAAACACAGAATTCTTTAGCAAGTCCAAATATAATGTCTTTAGAATTCCCATGCATCCCTTCATTTGTAAAAAGCTCTAGTCATCACGTACTCAAATAAAACCACCCTTCTTGCCACAACTGGTAAAGATTAGTAATACTGTCAACCGCTAATTAATCCTAGGAGAGCTTTGTATTCTTGACGTAGTCAAATAAAATAAGTTTAATAATTCTTTCCCTCAATACATAAGACTACGACTTAACAGGATCTAGTTTTAAAATTAAGATTCATAAGCAATAACATCTTTCCTTTGAAATAAACCATTTAGATTTGGCTACTAGAAGGTATACAGGACACAAAGCCTGACCTAGGAAACTAACAGGGGCAGTAATAATGCAGCTACACATGGGCATTGCCTTTGTACCTACAACACGGCTCTCTATAATGTATGAAAAAAAAAATAACAATTGAGAAGAAGAGGTGCTAGAGAACCAATATATATCAGAGTACTTAAGATTATCATAGGTCAACACAAATTACTTTATCTTCCCAAAGTCAAAACACGATGCTAGTAAAACTGGAGTAAGAATTCATACTCCAAGGATTTTGCATGACACATGGAGTCACTGTTTCTGAAACCAACGACTGGCTAAAGGTAAGCTTTGCACTGACCATCTTTGCCACACTGCCCTGAACCACCATTATCTTCAGTGGGCTTTTACTACAAAGGCAGCTTCACAGCCCACCTGAAAGAGCCTTTCCACTCTGGACAAGCAGTCAGGGAGTGATGAGGAAAGCAGTTAGGAAAAGCAGCAGATTAACAAAGCTGCCAAGAAGTCTGCTGTGCACACCGCGTCTCCGATACTTACAGCCCCTTTACAGTAGAGTCGAAGTCGTCCTGAAGGAGTTCGGACAATCACAGACATTCTTTTTCTGTCACTGGGAGAGTGAAAAAAATAAAAGAGTCTTCACTGGTCTGTTTACAGGATGCACGTCCCCCAGCTGAACACCAGTCAGAACAAAAGATGGTCTGGGGCTCCTAAAAATGGCCAAGGTCTATCTTTCCCTGCCTTTTTCTTCAAAGTAGGACCTAACTGTGTATCTCCTACTCTTTTTATTTACATCTAACGAACATATGCCTATTTCTTTCCCTGCCATGAAAATGAACTAGCACCGCTATCTGCAGTAGGAAAAACAGAAAAGGAGAATTCTAGCACTGACAGTCCACATCCGATTGACTTCTGACTCTACTCTCTAAAAATATTCTTTATTTTCCACCTCTAAGCTATTAAGTAACTTGCCCAGTAGGTACAAAAGTGGGAGACTCAGTATAGAGCCACTTAACTCGGAAGCTCCTCCCTGTGTCATCTTTTAACTGGAGTGAAAGAAACCACAAATCCACAGAACACTCCCAATTCAGCACCAAGGAACTCTCCCTCCCCTCACCACAGCATCTACACTTCCTCACACGTCTTTCCTCCTGGCCCATTCTCACCCACCGAGTCCTCAGTGAGTCTCCACCGCCTACGAATTCTTCTCACTGCTCTCCGTCCACCTGTGCAGCCTCGCCTCATCTCCCACCAACCCTCCCATGCACGACCGCCAGGCTTTGAGCACACACGGGACTCACCATTCTCCTCTTCTACACATTCTGATCCTCCTTTGCCAACAACATTTCAACCTCCTGAAGCACACTCCAACTACAGAGGGCCCTACACCCCCCATCTCGGTGGCCTTTCAGTGTGGTGGTTCCCGATGGACTATAAGTCTCTAAGAGTGGGGGAGAGTCTCTCTTCAGTTCTGGATAAATTCCCACATCCTAACCCATAGCGCTCTAGCTGACCTGGATTTGCTTTCTCTCTCAACCATCTTACAGGTAGGCACTCCTGGCTGTTCTTAAAACCCATGTTTCAGTTTCTCAATGTGTAAAGCAACTACTTCAAGGGAGTATTACAAAGATTAGCTGGCACTGGGAAAGAGATGAGTCCGTGAAAAACAAATAGACTCACCACTATAACCACAAATTATCTTTCTGTTCCTTCTTATTCTCCCATAAATACATTTTAATACATCCTTGTGTCTCTATCCATATTCACCTGTTTTTATCTAACTCTCTTTTCTCCGCCTCGCCTATCCAATAACTGCTGGTCCCAGTTAATGCAGTCACAGGACACTGCACAGTTTCCAACAAAAGATGGGGCACGAAACAGTCTGGAGAGATGCCTAGCACGTCGCTCACCTCTACACGCAGGGACACTGTCACCACTTCCTACATGAGCCACCACCGTCATCAACCATCCCTCCTCCCCTCCCTATGGTTCCAAGTCCAAGCCTGCGGTCCTAAAACTAAAGACTAGGGCTAGAAAGTATTTCCTACACAAAGATAAAAAACTAATCCTTATTTAAAAATAGCTTATAAAACAGAGCAAACGATTTGTGAATCGTTTAAGGTTATTGAAAAATCCACCTAATATTAATCATAGGAAAAGATGCTTTTGAGATAGCAATAGAACTTTGCTTTAGTACTGACAATTCCATGTTAAAAAGAGGCAAACAAAAAATTAAGATATGTTTCCTTATAACAATGAATGTTCTATGTGAACAAAAAAGTCTAACAAATATTCCTGGGTCTTACTTTTCAAAATTGTACTGGGGAAGAAAGCTTCCGAATAAGTCCAGGAAAACTGCCCTACGTGGACCCAGCCTCTAATGAGATGAACTGATCTCATCTGTCATCATTTGTCAGTTTCTCAGATCTCCAGGAGTGCTCAGATAGAGTAAGAGGAATGACCTCATGGGACTTGGGAAACGCCAATGAAAATAATGCCCTCATCACATGCTCCAAACTATTCAGACATGTCTGCAGCTGCTGATGCAAGAACATCAGGCTCTGGAAATCTAAAGAAAAAGGAGGACATGGAAGTAGAGCATTTCTCTTGAGTAAAGCAAAGAAAAATAACCTGCTTCACTTTCCTTAATGAAAGTCACAAATTCCAAGGAGAAGAGTTTATGGAGATACATTTATTACATTTAATACTTAAGTAGTATATTGAATCATACCATGCAATCATGTAAACACTCTGATGAAGTTGGGAAATAAATATAATTATTTTATTTCAAATGTATGAAAGAGAAACATACCTAGAAAATTCCAGGACATTAAGGATTCCGAACGTTTGTTCCTGTCCCATCTAAACGAAGAAAAACAGGCTCTTACCCAAGGTGCAGAGTATTAAAATCTCAAAGCAATTGTCTCCAAAACATAAACAGACTTAGGCTCTCTCTCTTCCCACCTTCTAGCCCTTTGCAACATGTACTGTTTTCTCACAAGTCTGGTGGGGTCAGAGCTCCCTCTTCTGGTGGAAGCTTCTCATGTTTCTTCAGTGCTAAGGCTGGCCTAACAGTTGACTGGTGTAGACATTTCCAAGAGATGCAGATAAAGGACACCAGCTGCCCAGGTCCGTCAGAAACCTTTGGCCCAGTTACCCCTCTGAATTCAGGATTTTACAAATTTTATAAAAATATACGCATATTCTAGACCATCTACCATAATGTCCCCAGCAGGGTCTGGGATAACATGCTGTTATACAGCACATCCACGTTCTCCAGCAAAATGTATGCATATCACAGGAAGTGACATTCATAAAGATCATAAACAGCCTCACCGCTTCTGATTAGGTTTTGCTGCCAATTAACTATTCACCAAACTTAGGAAAAAATCTTTTGGAATTCAAAGGCATTGGGTTTTGAATTTGCAGACAAAGAGATGGTGCATCTGTACCTGGTCACAGAGCAATCAATCAAACGCTCTTTTTCTTTGGGTTCTTTCAAGTTAGAAGGTCAATATTCACAATTTTTTTCCATCTAAAAATTCCAGATGGTGTGTACGCTATTTTCAAATTTTTTTTGTTTTTGTTTTTTGAGACGGAGTCTCGCTCTGTCGCCCAGGCTGGAGTGCAGTGGCACGATCTCGGCTCACTGCAAGCTCCACCTCCTGGGTTTATGCTATTCTCCTGCCTCAGCCTCCTGAGTAGCTGGGACTACAGGCGCCCACCACCGCGCCCGGCTAATTTTTTGTATTTTTAGTAGAGACGGGGTTTCACCGTGGTCTCGATCTCCTGACCTTGTGATCCGCCCGCCTCGGCCTCCCGAAGTGCTGGGATTACAGGCGTGAGCCACCGCGCCCGGCCTATTTTCAAATTTTTAATCTAATCTTTCCATTTCCCCAGCACTTCGTAGTGGAAAGAACGTGACCTTTGGCATCCGATACGTGTGAGTTTGAATCCAGTTTCTGCCTCTAAGTGTGTGACTTTCTTATGCATGGCAAAAGCACTTGTCTTTTAGGGTTCAGAGAAGTAATCAATGAAGTAACACATTCAAATTACCAAGTATATGACAGAATCATTATCTTCATTCACACCCACAACTCTCCACTCCTTCTCTTTGCATCCCACAAAACAACTAATGATCCACTTCACCTAGGCTTCCTCAATCTTTATTCACCTCTTCGGAACTATGAATTCCGAGTTCCCTTTTTCGACAGACTGTCCCAACTTTCCATCATATTCCCATTCAGAAGACACCCGGTGCTACTACCACCACCCAGCACCAGCGCTGCCATTCCCAGGAGCCACCTCCTCTCCGCACCACAGTTACACCAGCCACCTCCAGATGCAGCCCATGGACGTGGCTGTTCTGACTACTGGCGAGGACACTTCATGTAAATATGTAGGAATTGGAGATTTTGTTCCTGACTTGGTAGTACAGCAGTAAGTTTGTTCTTTTACTCATATGCAAAACCTAAATTTGAGAATTGGTGGTTTGATGAATGGTTGAATAGGATTCTTTTTATTATTTTTATTTACAAGTCCTAACTAATCAGGTAGTCTTTTGTGATCCCCAGAAATATGACCTTAAAACTGTAATGAGGTAACAAAGAGGGGTCAATGCAGCATATAACACCAGGAGGACGACACCAATAGGCTCTCTAGGTTCCACATTTACCTGGCATTGTGAGTGAAGTGGAAGCACCTGTTCTCTTCTGTCTCTCTCACCTATGATCCAAGCTCCCAACCTCCATTTTTGCAAATGCAGAGACGTGCAGCACCCACACAACTGAAAATCCTACGGCTAAGATTAAAATTCTCCTCCAACTGAAGGGGAGAAAAGACCTCATTTTTAAAAAGCTTCTGTAAGGGAAATTCTATATTCAATCACTACTTCATTCTACTTTTAATGGTGGTACCTTTCCCTAAGCTAAATTCCCTGTTGACTAAAATAAGCATAGTAAAAGTAAACATGACCAAATGAACTCATCTCTGTACTCCATAAAAAACTGAAGATGCCAATAAATGGGTACTTTGTATAAGATATGATATTTTATAGGTTTTGCATGTAACTAAAAGACAAAACTTACTACAGTACTCCCAAGTCAGGAACAATATCAAGTCATTATACCATTTGGAAGTGAATTTCAAATGCATTAAAGGGCTATGGATTTAAGGATGCATCCACAAAGCCAAAAACTATAATCCCCAAGTCTTCCCCAAATGGAGGGGTAGGGAAAGGCAAGGGATGGCAGGGACTAGCCCCAGACCCTCATCATCAATCCAGACAATAATAAAACAGCCCTTCTAACTGGTTATCATGAAAAACACCACTGCCTCACCAGTCGTAACCACCATTTTCCCCTGTTGCCCATTCCAAAGGTCTGTATTTGATCTTCTTGTTGATATAATTATTTTTCTATCACTAAATTTCTCCCTTTGGCCTGTAAGTAGGGAAACTCAGAAGAAAATCAGAAAATATGTAAACCTCTTGACTTCAGTTGCAGGGGGGGATCCCTCATACAGATAAAAGATCAAAGCCGGGCACAGTGGCTCAGCCTGTAATCCCAGCACTTTGGGAGGCCAAGGCGGGTGGATCACTTGAGGTCAGGAGTTTGAGACCAGCCTGGCCAACATGGCAAAACCTCGTCTCTACTAAAAATACAAAAACTAGTCGGGCGTGGTGGCACGTGCCTGTAGTCAGTCCCAGCTACTCGGGAGGCAGAGGCAGGAAAATTGTTTGAACCTGGAAGGCAGAAGTTTCAGTGAGCCGAGATAGCACCACTGCACTCCAGCCTGGGCAACAGAGTGAGACTACATCCCAAAAAAAAAAAAAAAAAAAAAAAAAAAAAGAGAGAGAGACAGATCTTAACTCTGCCTCCTCCCCCAGCCGAATAGACTTCTGAAGAGACTGTGAGGCTTCACTGAGTAAGAACTCGGGCTCTGAGGCTACAGAGAGACGTAGAACCTGCCCTCAAAGACAAGTGGACCGCTAAGTTATTTTCCCAATTATTATAGAACAAAGAGTAGATTTGTGAAGTTCTTTGCTACAAATAATTTCACATCAGTGTATGAAAGACATGTGGAAAAGCATCCTCAAGGGCGAAACAGTACTGCAATGCCAAACAACTCAAACAAGCTCATACAATCATATTAACTCCAGTTTTTCACAGGTCTGATTTTTCACCAAAAGAGAAGTTCAGCTATCATTTACAACAGACATGCCATCTCACATGCACAATCTTCAAGAAGTAGGTGATCTGAAACGTGCACACACGTGTTACTCACCGCTTCTATGATGACTGAGAACGGCGTTCTGGCTGTGAAGACAAAGCCCAGCTTTTTAGCTCCTTTCACCAAAGCAGCTTCATCTGTCAATTGGGAGTTGGTGAAACATTGACACATCACTGGTAACGATAGAATTCTGTTCAGTGTCCCTTTTCAAATTAACAAAACCCACTCTACTGAAGGAGGCCTGGTGTTATCTGCGCAGTAGTGAGGACTCGGGGTAGAGAAGCGCTTGCTCTTCCTACCACCAGGGTTCTGAAATGAGCACTTCTGTTAGGTGGAGGGCTTGGATCTATGCTAATTCACCAGGACAAGAATGATTTCTATTCTTGCTACTCTCGCTTGGGATCAAGTTCTCTCCGATAAACCTAAGTCATAGTCCCATGGCTCCCACCAAACACCTCCTCTGAGCAAGGCAGTATTTTAGTTGTGCTGTGGGATTCCCAAGCCCCAGGAAGTAGGTAAAGAGAACCCCCATGCACAGCTTCCCCAGCAGGAAGAAAATCTGTGAGGCGGGGAGGATGAGGAAGAAGCCAGCTCTGTTCTTTCTTCAGAGCTCTGTCAAGCCCCATCACCTCTGCCAGGAAATGCAACATAACCAGGGTCCTCCCTTTGCTGTTAAAAAGGGGTTATGAGAGTCAGGAGAGCCCATCCCGGGCTCTCTACGGCTTTGCACCTGTAGCCACAGCCTGGCCTCAGGACGAGGCCAACAGAAGGCAGCTGGGTCTATGGCGCTGACTACATGGCAGCATCTCCAAGAATAACTGCAACACCCAGGTCTCCTGAGAAGGGGCCAGCCGGGGGCACCCGGCCAGAGTCCTCACCTGGGGATGAGGCCTGGTAGATGATGTTATCTCCATCCTTCTCAGGAACAACCGTGTGGCACACGGCCAGAAGGGTGAGGAACTCCTGAATGCAAGGGGCTGTGGGCTGCAAACGTGAGGCGGGATTAGTGTCAGTCACAACACCTTCAACAGGCACCAGGGCTCACACAAGCAGATCCCCGCCTAACATCCAGTCATCCTACTGCTCCCTGTAGGACAGGGTAGAGGTCCTTAATATGGACCTCAGCTCCTCCTCCTACCGCTCTGGTCTGGAGTCCCCAAGCCGGTTCTCGCGCGCACTAATCCTTGGGTTTCTCTTGGAATGCAGCTCCTACGCTTCAGCTCAAGAGATGGGGAGAGAAAAGAGGAAGAGCCTTCCTTGTGCCTCAGCACACACTGCCTCCTCGGGAGCCTCAGCCTTGCCCAAGTGCTTCCATTTACCCACGTGCTTCCATTTACCCACGTGCTTCCATTTGCCCACGTGCTTCCATTTGCCCACGTGCTTCCATTTGCCCAAGTGCTTCCATTTGCCCAAGTGCTTCCATTTGCCCAAGTGCTTCCATTTGCCCACGTGCTTCCATTTGCCCAAGTGCTTCCATTTACCCACGTGCTTCCATTTGCCCAAGTGCTTCCATTTACCCACGTGCTTCCATTTGCCCAAGTGCTTCCACCTCCCCTGTGCTTCCGCTTCACCCAGGTGCTTGTGCTTCACCCAGGTGCTTCCGCCTCTCTCCGCAAGATCCTCCGGAAGCCTGTGTTCTGCCTCCCTCACTGCTGTACCTCAGGCCCCATAAACAGAAGATGCTTCCATCTCCAGGCTCCCATTCCCCTCCCTGATATCTGTTCTATGCAGTGTCCATTCTTTAGGTTTATAACCTCTCAATACCTGTAAAGCAGTGCATCTCTCGCCCATTACTCTTGAACAACAACAAAAACCAGAATTGCCCTGGATATGTATTTAATAGAATTCTCATTCTCTCTGGGAAAAAACATATACTTTTTTATTGGTATTAGAGCACTTTTATAACTAGTGGGAAAATAATGCTGTCTTCCCATCTAAGAAAACAGTGTGTCTTCCTATGGATTAAAAGCTTCTCAATATTCTAAATATAAGACCTAGCATATGTCTATTAATTATTTTATTTGCTCAAAAATTATTTTGGTGACCATTGTACATGAAGTACTGTGTAAGGCATTTTATCTATTGCCTTTTATATTATGAATGGAATCTTATTTCCATTACATTTTACAGTAGTTTCTTGTTGGGATGTAAGCAGAAACATTGATTTTTGTAAGTTAATATCCAGTTGTCACTGAGCTCCTACTAGTTCTCTGAATTGCCATTGACTATCCTAGGTTTTCAATGTCGACAATTATATCACCCACAAATGAGAAGTTTTCCCTTTTCCTCCCAATATACAAACTTTCAATTTTCACCTGTCTGCATGAGCTAGCACTTCCAGAATTACGTTCAAGGCAGGGGGATAACCAAGCTGCCTTTTCCTGGGGTTATTTTAATGTCAGTGTCTCTAATGCATCCCTTTTAAATAGGCAACTGGCTATAAAATTGAGATTGATTTATATCATCATAAGAAGGAAGCAGTTATGTGCTTCCTCTTTTTATAGTTTTATGGTTTTTTAGTCACAAATGAATGACGACTTCCACAAGAATATTTTTACTTTCTTCTCTGTCTTATGAATGTGACTTAAGAGGAATTTTATGGAATCAAATCACAACTATTCACATGGCTACTTCTTATCATGAAAAGAAAGGGCACATTAAATTATAGTTCAGTGAAGTCATGAACTTAAGGAATTTACACATTCCTCAAGGCCTGCATTGCAAAAATGGTAAGAAATTTTCCCCAAAAGCGCTTTCTGTGAGAATTTAGCTTCAATTCAAGGTTGCCTTCCCCTGTACCTGAGAACCATCCAACCCTGAACATAACCTTGTCCCATAATGAAACAACATAAAAAGGGTCTTAGATTTTACAAATAAGTAAACCTAGTAGTGAAATATTTTCTAAGAGTTATAAAGAATTGCACACATGAAGAGTCTTCTACCTCAAATGGTAAGCCAGACAAAATCCATGAAGATTTTTTTTAATCCTAAAATAAAATTAACCTATCATTGGTTTTCTTCCTATTGCATTCTATAATAAATTAGGGAGAAGAGACAAAATTAATCTGAAGCCTATGAATGCTTATATTTGTGTGTGTGTGTGTGTGTGTGTGATGTGTGTGTGTATCTTCTTAGATGTTAAAAAATTGTATTGTGGTAAACTAGACATGTAATATCTATCATTTAACCATTTGTAACTATAGAATTCAATTACATTTTAAATACATTCAACAATGCTACACAGCCATCACCACTATCTATAAACAAAACTTCATCTTCCCCAGCAGAAACTCTATACCCATTAAACAATAACTCTCCATTCTCTCTTCTCTCTACCCCCTAGTAACCTCTATCTTGTTTTCTGTGTCTATGAATTTGCCTATTGTATGTACCTCACAGAAACAGAATCATACAATATTTTTCCTTCAGTTAACAGCTTGTAATATGTACAAAATGCCATATATCTAGAAATGAATATTTTCTATTTATTTGGTGAATTTAAAATACCAGAAAATGATACATGTCTAAATTGTTTTGCAAGCGAAATTGCAGCTACAAATTATCCAAATCATATACATATATAAATGATTTCTTCTTGAAGACTCAAGCTCAGAAGTCTTAGGCATAATGATTCAACAGAAAATTACATCTTCTTCCTTGGTGAACCTTTGGAAATTTATCCCACACACTGGGTTAGCAATGTAAGCAGGGGGTTGCATAAACTGTCCCCCGAAATTTCTCACAGGTTGATTCTCTAAGAGCCAAATTCCATCTTAGCTATCAGCCCACACAAAGCTAACACAGTCCTAAAGGACCCACAAAATTTGAAATGATGATATAGGAAAAGAGAAAATTCTGTAGCAAACGCAAGTATTCCCTTGGGAGGAAAGTAACGGTTTTCTTGGACCAAATGCTTTAATTTTAGTCAATAGTCCCAAGACAATATAGATGAGAATGTGGGGCACGTGCAGCCGCAAATCCTCAAATACTTCTTCCCTCTCCACAAACATATTTTCGCAAAATGAACAAAAACATTGGATGTTTTTAAGCAGTTTAAAACCAGGGCAAAATAATCTAATAGGCCCTGGTTTTAAACTGCTTAAAAACATCCAGTGGGTACATTTAATTCAATCCCACATCTCCCCAAAGAAAAATATTAGAGCCTATTTTATGGTCTTCATTATTATGGTGGAGCTAGAAGTTAAATGTCAAAGAGTTTAGTTAACACAGTAGCTAAGATGAAGAGTACCTCAGAAGGCCTCAAGGATCCAAGAAAGCTTAAAAATGGTACACATAGGCTAGGAGGCTTTTACTAAAAATTAGAAAATAAATTCCCAAACCAATCAATCAATTCCTCATTATGCCTGTACTGAAACTCTATGAGTATCCAGTATTAAAATGCCCTTGAAGTCTCTGTGTTTGGATGGTCATCATAAAGTCCCCATGGCAGGGCTTCCTTTTCACAGGGGTTGCACCTGTCCCTACTCTCAATGGCTTTTCCACTAAACTAAAAGGAAATTTGGCTCAGGAGGGCAGACGATGAGGAGGAAAGGAAAGAAGAAGAAAGATCACTGACTTATATAAACAGTAAGATTTCTTCCTAAAGTGCTTTCCACTCACCACAGCCACCAAGGAGGAGTCAGGAAAAAAGCAGTGGGCAGGGGAAGGCAATGGGAGAGGTATTAGCTGTGCTCAGATCTCCATTCAAACATCAACAGAGGACAGGCTCAAGAAGAGTGTGGGATGGACAGTCAAAACCCCAAAACCTCACAGGGACCCAGAACACCAGTCCCGGGCCAGCTTTGGAGAGAACACCAGCGAGAGTCAGAAATTAACTGAGCCAAGCATTGAAATCTTTCAAACACTAGGATCCCAGAACCATGTAGGGGGTCCCCAAAGAAGCTCTTTTCCAAGTAAAGATTTGCCCCAGGCCACTGGGTTTCTACGGCATCCCACCTTTATGTCAGTGCAAATACCATTCTGTGTGGGTGGCCACACTGCTCACATGTCAACAGTTATGGTAGCCACGACAGTCACCAAACAGAATGGGATTCCTCTCTGTCTACACAAACCAAAATCACCTCGTCAGCTGCACCTTACCTATCCTGCAAAAGCATACTATGACTCCTAAGAATTTCCCATGTCTGCTTCCCCAGTGAACAGGAATCCCTTGGGTATTTTTAAATCATCTCTTCCCCTAGTACCGACAGCAAGGTATTTCATGTAAATGAGGTCCTTAAACTGTTTGCGAAATGAGTGAATAAATAAATGAGTCTCTGATGTAAATGGGGATCCAACAGTTTGCTGCTATTCCTAGCCCAATACTGGAATTCTGTGATGTTCCGTACACTGTGCTCATCTTATTTCCTTTGCTACTTTCTCCTTGTTGATCTAGGAAAGCAAACTCGTGAAACTGGACCGAGAACAGTCTCCGGAGCTCCTGTGTCACCCTTCCACTGTCTCCTTTTCCATTCACCATCCCAACTTGAACAGATATATTCAGTTGCCCACCTGTGTGGTTACCCGCGACCTGAATACTAGTTGAAAACACTTGTTTCCTCTCGAGTGCTCAAAGTACACTTGTTTCTTTGACATCTTTGATTAAAAACACCTTCCTGCAGAGACGATTCTTCAGAGGCGCCACTCTTCTGCTTGGAGAACCTCTAGCCTAGTAGCTGGATCTACCTCTAAGATCAGAATCCAAGAAAGGATTCTCTAGCTGTCTGTGACTGAAACAGAACATAGACTCCAGCAGCATCCTCTGTGGGCTTGGACCACTTCACCAGCCTCACCAAGAACTGAGTGGGGATAGCAGCATCACAGCCTGTGGGTGTGTGAGCTGTACACACCCACATTTCAGAAGTGCTGGCAACAAATGGGTACTAACTGTGATAGAGGAAAGTAGGATTTCCTCATGAAAACTTAGAAAAATCTTAAATATATCTGTCTCTTAAAATTTCAGAAATTTGGAAAGATAAAGTTTTAATTTTGCTCATGTTTACCTAATTTTAAATCTAGACATTTTTCAGAAAAAAAATCATATGATATCTAATTTATACTGACTTAACTAGTTGTGAAATGCTTTGATCAGTGAATAATTTTCTAAGTTGGCATTTTTCAGAGTAGCCTTTAAAATAACAGTGAATTACCCTTCTAGACATTGGCTTAGGCAAGGACTTCATGACCAAGAATCCAAAAGCAAATGCAATAAAAACAAAGATAAACAGCTGGGACCTAATTAAACTAAAGAGTTTTTGCACGGCAAAAGGAACAGTCAGCAGAGTAAACAGACAACCCACAGAGTGGGAGAAAATCTTCACAATCTATACATCTGACAAAGGACTAATATCCAGAAACTACAACAAACTCAAACAAATTAGTAAGAAAAAAAACCAAACAATCCCATCAAAAAGTGGGCTAAGAAAATGAATAGACAATTCTTAAAAGAAGATATACAAATGGCCAACAAACATATGACAAAACGCTCAGCATCGCTAATGATCAGGGAAATGCGAATCAAAACCACAATGCGACACCACCTCACTCCTGCAAGAATGGCCATAATGAAAAACTCAAAAACAATAGATGTTGGCATGGATGTGGTGATCAGAAAACACTTCTACATCACAGGTGGGAGTGTAAACTAGAACAGCCACTATGGAAAACAGTGTGGAGATTCCTTAAAGAACTAAAAGTAGAACTACCATTCAATCCAGCAATCCCACTACTAGGTATCTTCCCAGAGGAAAAAATACTTGCACACATGTTTATAGCAGTAAAATTCACAACTGTGTATTGTGGAATCAACCCAAATGCCCATCAATCAACGAGTGGATAAAGAAATTGTGAAATATACATATATAATATATACACATGTATATATACATATATAGAGAGATGATGGAATACCTCTTAGCCATAAAAAGGAACAAATAAACAGCATTTGCAGTGACCTGGATGAGACTGGAGACTATTACTCTAAGTGAAGTAATTCAGGAATGGAAAACCAAACATCCTATGTTCTCACTGATATGTGGGAGCTAAGCTATGAGGACGCAAAGGCATAAGAATGACACAGTGGACTATGGGGACTTTGGGGGAAGGGTGAGAGGGAGGCGAGGGATAAAAGACTACAAATACGGTGCAGTGTATACTGCTCAGGTGATGGGTGCACCAAAATCTCACAAATCACCACTAAAGAACTTACTCATGTAACCAAATACCACCTGTTCCCCAATAACTTATAGAAAAATTAAAAATACATACATAAATAAAATAACAGTGAATTGATGCGATGCTGCAGCTAATACTGATTTGAAGTGGTGTGATGTCATAGTTAAAAATCTAACAGACCGAGGTTTAAGGCTCATTTCTACATTTATGTGCTGGGCAACTATTTGCCAATTTAATCTCTTATTTAACTTCCTTGTCACCTCCCAGATGTGATTCAGATGTTGACTAAAATGTTGAAGGAAACATATGTTAGTTGCCTGGCACACAGTTGAATGCAATAAATGCTACCTGTTATTATATAGATCTTACTTTTGTTTCCTAAAGTATCCTAGTCAAAGGATATGCAATTACACTTGGCCTCTTAGATTCACAACTGTGACAAAATAGTACTGCAGAAATCTTACAAAGCAACAGCAATTGGAACTGTTACAGAATTCTGTGGTAAGACTTGTCTTGATCTTGGTGTGCTACTTTACAAAGTCATCATGTATTGAAATACACTAATTCATGCACAGTATTCACCACAAAGCATCTCAGATCACTTCTCAGAAGGACTCACACCATCAAACTGAGACTTTTCCCGGCCTCTAAAACTGCAACTTGCAAAATACTACACGCGTATCTATAAGAAAGGTGCATAGTAAGCTGTTTGCTGTCTTCAAAGTAAAACAGAGCACTTACATGGCGATCCTCAATGTTCTTCAACAGCCTGGGGTCATCAAAGTCACAGGAATCACTACAGGGAGGAGGCATCCGACTGTAAGAGAGAACAGAGAAAATGTATCCAATTCAAAAGTTTCTGTTAAGTTAACCCAAACCTGGAAAGAATCTGCCTTCCAGAAGAACCATACCTAAAGTCCTGTAGGAATTCACATTAAACTTTCAAAGGCTTGGAATTCTGTATTATTATTTCAAACCTCAAAACAATTAATCCTGGAGTTTACTATAAATAAAATATTTCATGAGTTATTGTAAAGAACAACAGTTACGAGGAACAATAGTTACAAGGAGAAGAAACAGAAGCCAGGGATCAAGACTATGACTGTCATTTCAGTTGGCCCCTGAGTCACTTCTATCCGAGAGAACTTCCAAGAGTGTCTGCTCAAAGCAAATAAAACAAGAGGAAGTATTGCACTGTATACATGCAGCCATTTATGGCCAGAGCTCATATGTAGGAGACGGAAGACAACAAATTACAAGAAAGGAAACGATATGATGGCTGTGAGCTATCACACTGAAAAAAATGTGAAGAACCAACTGTATATTCATTTATCTCCACTCCCTCCTGAATTTTTTAAAAATATTTATTTATTTATTTATTTATTTGTTTATTTATTTATTGTGATGAAGTTTCACTCTTGTTGCCCAGGCTGGAGTGCAATGGCGTGATCTCGGCTCACTGCAACCTTCACCTTGCACGTTCAAGCAATTCTCCTGCCTCAGTCTCCCAAGTAGCCGGGATTACACATGCCCACCATCACACCTGGCTAATTTTGTATTTTTAGTAGAGACAGGGTTTTGCCATGTTGGTCAGGCTGGTTTCAAACTCCTGACCTCATGTGATCCACCTGCCTCGGCCTCCCAAAATGCTGGGATTACAGGCATGAGTCACTGCATCTAGCCCCCTCCTGAAATTTCATCATTGTCAAGACAAAGACAATGAAAGAAGACATGACAGCAGAGTGTATGTCAGTCTTCACTCGAAATAGGTATCAGAGTGTAGTACAGCACAGAAAACAGCAACCAACAGCTTGCAAGGGGGAGCACCTATAATGCAAGCTGATGCCCTCAACAGAGTGCTGGGAAGGTGGAACAAATGGCAGTACAAGGCACCTGTGAGGTACAGGGAAGGAGGAAGATGGCACAGCTTCCACGTCCACTTGTGAAACACTTCAAGAATCCTCTCACATCCCATGCAGCCAGACAACCGAACTTTCCACAGCCAGAAAAAAAAACTTATCTTTTACAGAAATTAAACCAGAGTAGTCCTGAGCCCAGGGACACTGGGCACACAGGCACACATGTGGATAGGCTGGGGCAACCTCCCAAAACAGTGTTTTAAATGAAATTCTATATATGCTGAAAGGTACAATCACTGGCCCGCTGCCTCCACACAGCTTCCAAAACAGTTAGACCAAATTTATAGCCCTTGGCAGGAAACTAGAAAGTTCTTTTTATGAAAAGAAAGCTGACCGGCTGACAAGAAAGACCCATAGACACTGACATCCAGGGATCCCTTAATACAATCATGGGTCCTGGCTGATCATTCTCCGGGAGGGCAATCAGTCATCAACCACAGGGTCCCCACTCCACACACAGCCCTAGCAATCAGGTTTCTTGTGTATAAGCTTTAAAACACATGCAGACAGACAGCATCACTCTTTATAAGGGAAACAGGAATCAAAACTACAATAAGGTGCCACTTCACACCCATTAGGATGGCTACTATAAAACAAACAAAACCTGAAAAATCACAAGCGTTGGCAAGGATGTGGAGAAAGTGAAACCCTTGTGCACTGCTGGCAGGAATGTCAAATGGTGGCTCTGCTATGAAAAATAGCAAGGTTTTTCCTCAAAAAGTTAAACACAGAATTACCATATGACCCAGTAATTCCATGTTTAGGTGTACACCCCCAAGAATGGAAAGGGGGGACTGAAACAGATACCTGTATGTCAATGTTCACAGCAGCATTATTCACAGTAGCCAAAAGGTGGAAGCAACACAAATGCCCATGAACAGATGACGGGATAAACAATGCGTGGCATATACACGCAATCGAACATTACTCAGCCTTCCAAAGGGAAAAGATTCTGACACATTCTACAACATGGATGAACCCTGAAGACATGCTAAGGGAAATACGCCAAACACAAAAACACAAATACTGTACAATTTCACTTGCATGAGGTACCTAGAACAGGCAAACTCATAGAGACAGAAAACAGAGTGGTGGTTACTAGGGTCTGGAGGCAGGCAGCAATGAAGAATTTTTGTTGAATAGATAGGGCTTCAGATGAAAAAGTTCTAGAAATGAATGGTGCGGATGGCTGCAAAACACTATGAATATACTTAGTGCAACTGAATTGTACATTTAAAAGAGTCAAACGATAAATATTATGTTACACATATTTTACACAAAAAGAAATAAAAATATCTGAGCACACAGCTAATGATCACCAGGTTTTTGAAGAAAGCCTATAGAAAACAAATCAAAACACCACGGGTGAGCGGTAGGGAGGGTGGGAGAGGAGAGCAGAGAAAACACAGAATGCAAAAGCAACGTTAAGGGAATGCTTTCAAAAACCGAAAGTGAGATCATACGAAAAACTCATGATAAAGGATAGAAGATCAAGGTGAAAAAAATACCAGGAAGTAAAACAAAAAAAAATATGGAAAATGAGAGAGAATGATAACAAAATTGGAGGATCAACCCAAGAGATTCAATATCTGACTATCAAGAGATGCAGAGGGAACAGGGAAGCTGGAGAGGAGGAAAACTATCATAGAAATAATACAAAGACACTGCTGAGAATCAAGAAGAGGAAATTCAGAGACAGAAATGGCTCACTAGTGGTCCACTGAATGTCCAAAATAATGGAAAAAATTCACTTTGGGAGGTCCAGATCACGAGATCAGGAGATCAAGACCATTCTGGCCAACACGGTGAAATCCCGTCTCTACTAAAAATACAAAAAATTAGCCGGGCGCGGTTGTGGGCGCCTGTAGTCCCAGCTACTCGGGAGGCTGAGGCAGGACAACGGCATGAACCCGGGAGGCGGAGCTTGCAGTGAGCCAAGACGATGCCACTGCACTCCAGCCTGGGAGATAGAGCGAGACTCCATCTCAAAAACAAAAAAAAAAAGGAAACATTTTAAAACCTGCCCAAGGCTTCATGGTTGAAATGGCATATGCCTAAGGAGGTACAGAAAATCTGAAATGCTTCCAAAGGGGGCGGAGCAAGAGTAGGAGATAAACTCTCATCATCCACGGTAAAAACTAGAATAATGTCTAAATGTTTTTAATTTGTCTTTCTTTTTTTTTTTTTTTTTTTTGAGACAGAGTCTTGCTGTGAACTCAGGCTGGAGTGCAGTGGCACGATCTTGGCTCACTGCAACCTCTGCCTCCTGAGTTCAACTGGTTCTCCTGCCTTAGCTTCCTGAGTAACTAGGATTACAGGCGCCCACCACCATACCCGGCTAATTTTTGTATTTTTAGTACAGACAGGGTTTCATCATGTTTGCCAGGCTGGTCTTGAACCCTGACCTCAAATGATCTGCCTGCCTTGGCCTCCCAAAGTGCTGGGATTACAAGTGTGAGCCACTGCACCCAGCCTAAATGCCTTTAATTTAAAAATTAATATAAATATTACCTTGAAATATAAAAATAAAATTTTTTAAAAAGCAAAAGCACTGAGGTTGACTGCCTCCAGGGAATAGGGAGTGAGTGGGAAGTACTGAACCAAGGGCAGTCGATTTTTTGGTCAAAGTCCTGTAGTATCTCCGGACTTTTCAAACCATGTTCATCCTTAAATTTTATCTGGTTTTCTTTCAAAATAACATATATGCAACTTTTATTTACATAAAAAAATAGGCAGGTGAGAAATGCTAATAAAATTATTCGAGGGCGAGCCTGGTTTCTCACACGTGTAATCCCAGCACGTTGGGAAGACACAGCGGGAGGACGGCTTGAGGCCAGGAGTTTGAGACCAGCCTGGGCAACATAGTGAGACCTCATTTCTACAAAAAATTACAAAATTAGTCAGGCACGGTGGCGCTTGCCTGTAGTTTTAGTTACGCAGGAGGCTGAGGCAGGAGGATCACTTGAACCCAGGAGTTCACGACTACAGTGAGCTATGACTGTATCACTGCACTCCATCCTGTGCAATAGAGTGAGGCTGTCTCTAAAAATGTAAATAAATAAATAAAAACTATTCCACAGGCTTTTCCACTGAAGTGTCAAGAAGTGCTAGAATCTACTTACCAGAAGTCATCTGAGGACGGCTCTCTTGCCAATTCTGGGAAGTGACTGCCAAAGAAAGGGAAAACAGAGTGGTCACAAAACTGTGATCAAAAGACAGACATTCTGATCAAAACCTGAGTAAATGTATAATTCTTAGATTAGATATACAAACTTACAGATTCTCAGGGACTTCTTACCAAGTTAATTGCAGAAATAAACCACTTTTGTTGTTGTTGTTGTTTGTTTGTTTGTTTGTTTGTTTGTTTTGAGATGGAGTCTCACTCTGTCACCCAGGCTGAAGTGCAGTGGTGCGATTCTGGCTCACTGCAACCCCTGCCTCCCGAGTTCAAGCGATTCTCCTGCCTCAGCCTCCCGAGTAGCTGGGATTACAGGTGCATGCAACAATGCCCAGCTAATACTGTATTTTTAGTAGAGACAGGGTTTCATCATGTTAGCCAGGTTGATCTCAAACTTCCAACCTCAGGCAATCCACCTGCCTCGGCCTCCCAAAGTGCTGGGATTACAGGTGTGAGCCACTGCGCCCGGTCAGAAATAAACCATGTTTTAACTGTTCTGAGTTTAATTTAGGATCCATTCAGCTATAAACGCATTCCATAGTAACTACATATCTAAATCTATTGTAAAGGATTTCGATTTTTTTTTTAATTTTGAAAGGATCTTTATCCTTTCAAATCATCAGTAAGTCAAGATATTTGACTAAGTAGCTAAAAATAAACTTACTTTCTTGAAAGACTACAAGTAAATTTTCAGTAAGTGATAAACACTGACCCATAGGTTACTCCGGCAATGCTGCACTTCTTGAAGTTCATGATATTGCACGTAAGCGTTCCAGTCTTGTCAGAAAAGAGATATTTCACCTAAATCAAAGAATAAAAGAAATATACATCAGGAAGTATTGAGATGCAAAGATCAACAAATGAAGTCTTCCCTTCTATATTTTTCAAAACCTGTATGAAACGGGTAGATTTCCTTAAAGCAAGCAAATTAATAACAAAAAATATATTAATACTTTAATGTTTAGACCACTTAACAAACCTTCTTCTATAACTAATTATATAGTCAAAGTGTACCGAAATATGCAGACGGAGCTGCAATAACAGCTCTGACTGAATGATGTGCTACTGGTTTATATGCACTATCACTCTACATGTAACATTTGAGAAATGATGTCATGGATTAGCAAGGGAGAGGAATTAACAGAATTGCCTCCAGAGGAATCTCCGGTTTCTCAGTAGTCTTCCAAAGAGGCCTCAGGACTTGCTAAGTGGTAGATACCTTCCAGAGATCCCAGAGAACTGGCCTAGGGAAGCAGCGTTTTACTGTTGTATAGAAGAGGGACTCATTACATGAATTGCTTACTCAGTAATTTTTCTTAATGATACAATATAGACAAATACACTGGGAAGTTTTTTGAAAACGATCAAAGGGACTTCAAGTATTCAAGCTCCTAAAGAAGTCAAATACTAGCTCTAAATATAATATTAGTACCCTAGGGGTAATTTATACTTTAAACACATTTTTATATGCAGTAAGTCTAGGGGTATGGAAAATTTAGTAGAATCTGCCTTTTAGTAAGCAGGGATTCTTTCTGCATTCTCAAGAAAATTAAAATATCATATAAAAAATTAAAGGCCAGGTGCAGTGGCTCACACCTGTAATCCCAGCACTTTGGAACGCCAAGGCAGGTGGATCACCTGAGGTCAGGAGTTTGAGACCAGCCTCGCCAACATGGCAAAACATCATCTCTACTAAAAATACGAAAAAAATTAGCCGGGCATGGTGGCAGGTGCCTGCAATTCTGGCCACTCAGGAGGCTGAGGCAGAAGAATCACTTGAACCCAGGAGGCAGAGGTTGCAGTGAGCTGAGATCATGATATAAACAAATATTGCACTCCAGCCTGGGCGACAAGAGCGAAACTTTGTCTCAAAAAAAAAAAAAAAACCAATTAAAAATGAACATTTTATAATAAGGGCTTATCAAGATTTGCTATCACTTTGCCTACTAAATTTTAACTTGTCCTTAAAGTACCAACTCAAAACTTCTTCCCCATGCAAACATTCCCATACCCTCAATTAGGATGAATTACTGAAGCATCCACGGGTACTTTCAATCCTTGAATTATTCAGGTCCAGTTCAATGACACCTGCAGACAATTATATACTGTGCACTGTGCTAAACTAACAAAGGCAACCAAAGACCTTGTCTAGGGCACACCCACACCCTCACAAAGTCTCCAGAGAGAAATGGACACTACATCACTTACACCCCTTATTTTACTGTATTTATGTTTGGAAAGACTGTTATGGGAACATAGAAAACAGACTAACCAAGCCCGGAAAACTGGAGAAGAGTTCAAAGAGGAGGCAAATTTAGCCTGATATGCACCAAGAACTCACTGATTCTTACAGGAGAAGGATTTTACCAACAGATAAAGGAAATGACAAAGCCATTCTAGAATGAGAGAACATAAGAAAAAAAAAATGAGGATTGAAAGCCCAAGGTCCAAGGCCTGCTCTGGGTGCTGTACCCAGCCCTATGTGACCAGAGCACCAAAGGCAGTGGCAGGATTTGTGCTCTGTGCCAAGGACATTCTCTGTAATAACAATCCATCCTATTATACTAAGAATTTAAGAGCACTCATAGAATATACACAATTTAAGGAAAGACAAAGCAAATATTAAGTAGGTTTGGAAAATTATATCAAAGAAACAATCACCTACTTTTTTTGTCTACAAAGGTCTATTTTAATCTACAAATTTGAGCCTCAGTTTTCTGGCAATAAACTCAAAAATGATACACAAAAACCACCACAGAATTCACTCTATCCTTGAGGAAAGAGAAACGAAGAAAGCAAGCCTACCTCCATAGGGAGTTTTTCTAACCCTCAGATGGATGAGCCACGTCTCCTGCATTTTCACAGAGGGACACTGAGGAGCAGGGGAGATGGAACATGGTAATGTTCCTTCACCAGGCAGGGAAGCTTGGGAAGGCCAGATCTCTACAGACAAACCGAAGTCCCCAGTCTGACGCTGAATAACCAGGTGTCCTTTGATAAGTTACTCCTTTCCTTCTCTATAAAATGAAGGTACAGCACCCTCCCCTTAGGGTTCCTGGTGGGTTTCAATAGGGTGTATGAAATGAAACCAAAATCTTTAACGGCAAGGCATTCAAAGGAGGTTAGTCCTTAAAAATCAACAAGTAGGACCTAATTAAACTAAAGAGCTTCTGGACAACAAAAGAAACTACGAGCAGAGTAAACAGACAACCTACAGAATGGGAGAAAATATTTGCAAACTATACATCTGACAAAGGTCTCACATCCAGAATCTATAAGCAACTTAAACAACTGAACAAGCAAAAACCAAACAACCCCATTAAAAAAAAGAGCAAAAGACATGAACAGACATTCTCCAAAGAAACATACAAGTGGCCAAAAAACATACGAAAAAATGCTCCACATCACTAATCATCAGAGAAGTGCAATTCAAAACCGCAATGAGATACCATCTCACACCAGTCAGAATGGGTATCATTAAAAAGTCAGGAAACAACAGACGCTGGCAATGCTGCACGGAAAAGGGACCACTTATCCACTATTGGTGGGAGTGCAAATTAGTTCAGCCACTGTGGAAAGCAGTGTGCAGATTTCTCAAGGAACTTAATACAGAACTACCATTTGACCTGCAATCCTGTTACTGGATATGTATCCAAAAGAAAACAAATCGTTCTACCAAAAAGACACATGTTTATCACAGCACTATTCACAACAGCAAAGACATGGACTCAACCTAGATGCCCATCAACAGTGGATTGGATAAAGAAAATGTGGTACGTATACACCATGGAATACACAGCCAGAAAAAAAAAAAAAAAAACGAAATCATGTTCTTTGCAGCAACACGCATGGAGCTGGAGGCCATCATCTTAAGTGAATTAATGCAAGAACAGAAAGCCAAATACTGCATGTTCTCACTTACTAAGTGGGAGCTAAACATTGCATACTCAAGGACATAAATATGGGAACAACAAACACTGGGGACTACTAGACAGGTTTGGGGAAAAGCGTTGAAAAACTGTTGGGTACTAGGCTCAGGTATCTGAGTGATGGTATCATTCATACTCCAAACCTCAGCATCACATAATACACCCACATAAAAAACCTGCACAGGTACCCTCTGAATCTAAAATAAAAGTTGAAAAAAGAAATTAAATTAAATTAAAACATTTAAAAAGAGGTTATTCCTTACAGGAATTTCAATGTCAGACACAGACATAATGCAAAGCATAACTTAGTAAAGGCAAGAGGAGTTCAGGGGTAAAGGTGCAAAAGATACTGTTCCCTAGAATATTCCAGAGACAAAATCCAGAACATGCGAGAAATGCATGTCCTTTAAATTGGCCCCAACACGTTTTGAAGGGTTACTCAATATCTGAGTATCTTAGCCATCGTTTTCCCTGTCATTTGCTCCTGATAATACTGTTTTAAGGGTTCCAAATGATGTTGCACTGTATTTTTTACATTACTTTTTTTTTTTTTTGTAGGTTCCTTCTGGGTAATACGATATGGCTGTGTCTCAAGAAGCAAGACAAAACCGAGTAACGCTTATATCTAATGGCACAGTCAAATGTATTATATAGTTCTTCAGATGTTCTAGCCATGTTCATGGAGAGGCATGTTTGCAAAATCTCTCCACGGTTCTTCTGCTAACACTCATGTCCCCTCATGCTCATGTCACCATTCCCAAAATTCCCAAAGAGGCTTTTTCACCTGCCCAAGCTCTTCATTAAGGTTTGATGTCCTGGCCATGGCAGGAGTATCGTTTCCTATATAATACATATCTGTGTCCTGAGAGAGAGAGAACAAGAGACAGGATTTCAGAAAATATATACCATTAATCCTTCATTCAGATGAACACAGAAAAGAAGCTAAGAACGGGTCATTTAAAACACTTTTATTTTAATAGAAATGCTAATTTTGGCCAAGGGCAGTGGCTCACGCCTGTAATCCCAGCACTTTGGGAGGCCGAGGTGGGCGGATCACGAGGTCAGGAGATGGAGACCATCCTGGCTAACACAGTGAAACCCTGTCTCTACTAAAAAAATACAAAAAAATTAGCCAGGCATGCTGGCTGGAGCCTGATGTCCCAGCTACTCGGGAGGCTGAGGCAGGATAATGGCGTGAACCTGGGAGGCAGAGCTTGCAATAAGCCGAGAAAGTGCCACTGCACTCCAGCCTAGGCGACAGAGTAAGACTCCGTCTCAAAAAAAAAAAAAAAGAAAAACAAAAAAGAAATACTAATTTCAAATTCTGGGGTGAAAAGCAGTGGCAACTAGGATAGAGAAGCCCTGTGATTTGAGGGGAAGCATAGAATTAATATACAGAAAATTGACTGGGCACAGTCGCTCACGCCTGTAATCCCAGCATTTTGGGAGGCCGAGGTGGGCAGACCACTTGAGGTCAGGAGTTGGAGACCAGTCTGGCCAACATGGTGAAACCCTGCCCTTACTGAAAATACAAAAATTAGCCAGGCATGGTGGCACATGCCTGTAATCCCAGCTGCTTGGGGAGGCTGACGCATGAGAATTGCTTGAACTCGAGAGATGGAGGTTGCAGTGAGCTGGGATCACACCACTTCACTCCGGCCTGGGCGACAGTGCAAGACTTTATCTCAAAAAGAAATATATATATATACACATACATATATACACACACACACACATATGATTTATATTTATATAATATATATGAGATTTGGTTTCAAGATAATCATTTCACAGCCTAGACTAACTCACGATTCTGACCTTGTTGACAGGATTGTTGTGAAGATCAAATAAAAATGCATATCAAAGTGCCTGGTCTACAAACACTGGCTGCTGAAGTCCACTGCTTAAGGGCCATGGCAGTCCTTTAAAAATCTTATCTCCACCCTTACAATCAAATCCAAGTGGACTGTCACAATGAATTTTGATATGCGAGTGGCCACTACAGTAAACACACCCAAGAGGCCTTTTCTTTAGCACTAACTAGATGTTAAAAGCATCAATAGCAGGTGCAGCCAGATGACAGGTGCTGGCTCAGCATTCCACCCCATCATCTGACCAATCCTCACAACAACCCCTCGAATAGGAACCACTGCCCTCTCCATTCCCCAAAAACACCCTCACCGGGGATCCCTGGCCAGTTCTCTGTACGGCCAGTTTAAGCCCCTGGACCTAATAATGGCAAATGAACATAGTTCTTCTTTTTTGAGCGCTCAATGAAATGCCAAAAGCTCTGAAATAACATTGGAAAATAGGGACTCAACTCTGCTTTCATACTCACCCAGTTGATGAAAAGGGCTTGAGTATACTTCACAACCTCAAGAGTCACCAACAGACTGATGGGAATAAGATTGTTGTATAAAATGATGAACGTCAGCAGGTTGTATCCAAAATTATCTGAGGTGGTGTCTGTGGAAGGAAACCAGAGTATGTGAAAGGTGTTCACAACCAGAGTCTATTGGCTTACTTAGAGATTCATGTTCAAACAGTGATTGAGCACCTCCTGTATATCAGGAACTGTGAGTTCCAAGGCTGCTTTCCGTAGGAGGCACAGAGGCCCCACAGTGCAACTGCACAGCAGGAGGCATCTACTAAAGAGAGGCTCACAGGGCGTGGCGGGAACCAACAGAGGGGGCTTTCCAATGGGAGGGCACGGTCACTGAAGGCCATCCGGAAGAAGAAATGCTGGTGTCAAGTTTTGAAGAACAGAGAAAAGAAGCAAACTTGAAAGAATGTAGAAAAGAAGACAGGCCTTTGAAATGGTTGTAAGGAATACCTACAGTCTCACTAAGGTACATGTATATTGGGGATACTCCAAAGAGCTGGAAAGACGGACAAAAGTGTGAACAAGAGAAGCAGACAAAGAGGAGAAGTCTTGAGCCCGACTAAAGATAAGAGAAGGGATATCTGGAAGGAACGAGATCCCTAAGGATGGAACAGGACCCTAGGGGATGGAGTCCACAGCAGAGGCAGCATCAGCTCCAGGAGGAACAGAGAATGAGGGCGGGAGAGGGGCAGAAGGTCTGGGGGCATCAAAAGGGAGGTTCTTTCCTTGACAGCCACGATCTTCTGCTTGAAGGGTAAAGTAGTGAGATCTTCTTAACTTAGCAAGAGGCTTAAGGAAAACGCTGCAACAGGGTTTAACTGGTATTAAAGCTATCTGTGAAGGGAACTAGAATGAGAATAAAGATAGGAGCAGGTTAGGATCAGAGGGAGATTGAGAATTTGTAATGGCTCCAAACCACAGTTATTGGGTTTTTTCCCAGGAAATTACATCAAATGGTGGTAGTATGATTCCGATTTAGAGCTCTGGAGGGTGGCTGTGACGGAAAGCCAAGGAGCTGGGAAGGTACAGGAGAAGCAGGCATACGCTGGCCAGTAATTTTACCTTTCCACAATCCCTTCACTTCCTACTCACTACCAAGCCTTCCACTTTTCCTGCTGGTTGCTTTTCTTCCTGACATATTACTTTGCTCTCCTGTTCTCCTGTAGAATTAAGGAGTTTCTAAACAAGATCTCTAAGTTCCAACAGTTACAAATATCTCTAAGGTATAAACAAATGTCTACCTGACAATTACAAATACAAGAAATACTAAAGAAGCTCTCCAGGATGAAAGAGATACGAGACAATAATTAAAATCCACATAAACAAAGGACACTAGTAATGGTAATTCTATAGTATTTATAAAAGATAGTATACTTATATATTCTCAATTTTAAAAAAGCAATTGCGAAAAGCATCATAAAATTGCATTGTTGAACTTATATACAGATGTAATATATATGACAGTACAAAGGAGTAGGGAGAGAATGAAGATACATGAAGCAAAGAAATGGCACCAGCTGTTAACTCAAATCCACAGGAAGAAATGAAGAGAGAGACCTGGAAATGGTAAGTAAATATGTCAATATAAAACAATCCTGACCGGGTGCGGTGGCTCACCCCTGTAATCCCAGCACTTTGGGAGGCCGAGGCAGGTGGATTGCCTGAGGTCAGGAGTTCGAGACTAGCCTGGCCAACATGGTGAAACTCTGTCTCTACTAAAAATACAAAAATTATCCAGGCATGTTGGCACATGCCTATAGTCCCAGCTACTCAAGAGGCTGAGGCAGGAGAATCGCTTGAACCTAGGAGGTGGAGGTTGCAGTGAGCCGAGATTGCACCACTGCACTCCGGCCTGGGTGACAGAGCGAGACTCCGTCTCAAAACAACAACAACAACAACCAAAACAAAACAAACAAACAAACAAAAAACCCTAGCAATATGCTTTTTTCTTTTTTCCCTTAGCTTCTTTAAGAGACATAGATTATTATAACACTGTATTTTGGAGTTGACGACACAGATAAATGGAATATAACAATGATAGCACCAAGCAGGAGAGGAAATGGAGGTACACCTGGAGTAATGTTTCTGTATTTTACTAGAATTAAGTTAGTATTAATCAAAAGTAGATTTGGATAAATTAGGAAATACGTTGTAATTCCTAGGGCAACTACTAAGAAAATACTTTAACGCAGAGTTTAAAAATAACCATTTGGGTATAAAACAATTCCCAAATGTGCCTATCTTCGCTTCGTCACAATCCTAATCTCAATTCTCCTTGGAGGGCTGGCATTATGTACAGTAACCGAAGGGAACAGAAGGACAGCAGGGACACCACACATCAACCACACCTGCAAGAACGTCTCAAGAATGGTTTTCTTCCACTGGAGCAAGCAACCCACCCCGACACTTACCCATCTTCTTGATGTACCAGTTCTTTTCGCCGTGAGACCTGTTCCAGTACAGGGCCCCCGCCGAGCTCACCAAGGCCATGACCAACAGGATACCAAACAACACCAGGATCTGTACGTTAGTCACCTTCTCCACGTTTGATCTCTTGAGAGGCGCTTTGGTTGAATTCTACACAACAGCGTTGAAAATCAGTAAGGGTCACAGAACAGATTTGGGGCAAGGGGTTGGGGGAAAGAAGGTAAAACAACCATATTTAACAACCGACAAGTAAAAGACTATTTTTTTTTTGCCAAACAATCAATGCAATTTAAAAGTGTACCATGCTCCTGATCAATAGCTAGTTTTGAGTAACGAAGAAAGACGACATACTCTACCAGCTTAAAGGACACATTCCAACGTTACATGATTTATTCTGTACTTCTTATGATTATATCATAGCTTAAAATTGTCACTTTCCTTATCTTAGAACACAACAGGTTCTAAATATAGTCCAGTTTCAAAGAAATCAGAACACTGGTAATCCAAGAGAAACTTAGAAATTCCATACCATAAAAATCTAGAGAAGACCTTCACGGTAATAGCACAGTTCTACAATAAATATACAGAGATATTTCTAAAACACATATTTTCCCTCCTGGAGCTCAGAATTTGAGGAATAAAAAAAACATACACAAACGCATACATATCAATAATGCAAAACAGAACATTAATGGGTTTCAAAATAAGTGGATGGACAAAAAGTTCTCTTGGAGAACTGTGAACAAGAAGCAGGAGCAGCAGGAAGAGTCAGCAAGGGGCTGGGCAGGAGAAAGCTGAGCGGCATCCTGAATGATGGAGACAGCAAAGGAGAAACGGAAGGAGAACAGCAATCTTATCACAGGCTTAGCACCTGCCTTCTCACTTCTCACTGCTGCGGGGAAACCAGCCCAGCTGGAGCCAAGGCCAGTGTTGGCAGGAGAGTTTAGAAAGATTCATTAAAGCTGGATTCAAGAATCACTCCAGTGCAGGTGGAAAATTTGGGACTAGATCCTCCTCTCAGCCATGGGAGAGTCAGTAGAACTGTTTGAGGAAGACAGTTATGCACCTGAAGTCATTTTATTAAAAAATATCTGAAGGTACTTGTGGTGGTCAAACAAATGACCCCTCCCCCGCCAGTGATGCCCACATCCTACTTGTGGGGCACTGCGAGTATGTTATATTATTTTATTTTTTGAGATGGAGTCTCACTCAGTTGCCCAGGCTGGAGTCCAGTGGTGTCATCTCAGCTCACTGCAACCTCCACCTCCCGGGTTCAAGTGATTCTCGTGCCTCACCTCCCAAGTAGCTGGGATTATAGGCACCCACCATCACGCCCGGCTAATTTTTTGTATTTTTAGTAGAGATAGGGTTTCACCATGTTGGCCAGGCTGGTCTCAAACTCCTGACCTCAGGTGATCCACTTGCCTCGGCCTCCCAAAGTGCTGGGATTACAGGCGTGAGCCACCGTGCCTGGCCTGAGTATGCTATTTTATACAGCAAAAGGGACTTTGTGGATGGGATTAAATTAAATTAACAACTGTGAGACAGGGAGAGATTATCCTGGATTACCCAAGTGGATCCGATCTAACCACAAGGGTCATCAAAAGGGAGAACCTTTCCCAGTTGTGCTCAGAGGGAGAGGTGGCGACAGAGAAATGATCAGAGAGATTCCCCTCTGAGGCCTGCAGGAAAGAGCAGCCAACATCTCGAGTTTTAGCGTAGGGAGTCTACTGCTCATAGTAGACTTCTGACCTATAGAACTGCAGCATAATAACTCATGTTTTTTTAAGTCACTAAAACTATGGAAATTGTCACAGCAGCCAGAGGAAACCAGTACAGTAATACCGCAGGTTGGGGAAGGAGACACTGAAGAGAGGAAAGCCATAGGGGAATTATTTATAATCCATTCCTGGAGGTGAAATAATTTCCGATTTAAATTAAAAGCCAGGAATTGGACAGGGAGAGGCTCACAGCATGAGCCTGCAGGTCTCCTTCCATGAATCATGGGCCCGGGCTTTTTTTTTTTTTTTTTTTTTTTTTGAGACGGAGTCTTGCCCTGTCGCCCAAGCTGGAGTGCAGTGGTGCGATATGGGCTCACTGCAACCTCTGCCTCCTTGGTTCAAGTGATTCTTCTGTCTCAGCCTCCCAAGTAGCTGGGATTACAGGCGTGTGCCACCACACCTGAATAATTTTTTGTATTTTTAGTAGAGATGGGGTTTCACCATGTTAGCCAGGATGGTCTCGATCTCCTGACCTCATGATCCGCCTGCCTCAGCCTCTCAAAGTGCTGGGATTACAGGTGGGAGCCACTGCACCCAGCCAGGCCCGGGCTTTTAGCAGACAACACTGATTTGCCACGTTTGGATAATCTGAAAGTTTGTAAGGCACTTACTTGTGCCAAACTTAAGTCAGCATTCTTCTTTACTAGTCTCCATTGATCTGATCATTAAAAGAGCTAGGATGACAATGTCTCCAAAGATAAGAATACAAATAAAGTCACAATGTGAAAATAAAACTGAGATGAAAACATGAGGCAATTCACTCCTAAGCTCCAAGAAAAATGTATACCACGTAACTGAAATTGTTATTTGAATTCTATTGGCAAACCAAAAATACTATTTCCCCATAGTTTTCTTTGGGGGTAGAGGAGTTGGGAGATTGTACTGGTGATTCTGAAAAGCTAAGTCCTTTAAATATCTAAACAACACAGCAGCTTTTTCCTTTATTTCTACTTTTTTCCCTTTTACTTTATCTCTCTAAATTATTCATCCTTTACGGACTTTAAAAAAAAATTCCTCAGGAGTCTAAATGGAAATCCATTAGTAAAAGCCAACTTATCATCAATCAAATACTACATCAAGGTCAACTGAGACGACACATCCAGGTCTGGCCTCATGGTAAGGGCTGGCAGGCCAGGTCCAGGACTGGTCATCCTAACTCTTAAAAACGAAGCATGATCTCATCATTCTTAATAAATATTCACTAAATGTACAGGCAGGAAAAAATTACCATAAACCTCATTTCTATACCGCATTTGTTATTGACTTCTGATCTTTTTCAGTGGCTGAATTCTGGCCAATTAGGAGGATTAGAAAACTTTATCTTTCATCTAACAGAAGAGGAACAATCCCAGATCTTCAAGCTTCAACATGTACACTTTGTGGAAAGTCAACCTCAGCCTACTGACTCCCATCCCCTGAACATTTTTACTTGCAATGATCAATGATGAGGGGTTTTTTTGTTTTTTGTTTGTTTGTTTGTTTGTTGGAGACAGAGTCTCATTCAGTCACCTGGATGGAGTGCAGTGGCACGATCTTGGCTCACTGCAATCTCCACCTCCCAGGTTCAAGCTATTCTTGTGCCTCAGCCTCCATAGTAGCTGGAACCACAGGTGCACACCACCACACCCAGATAATTTTTTGTATTTTTAGTAGAGACAGGGGTCTCACCATATTGCCCAGGGTGGTCTTGAACTCCTGAGGACAGGCAGTCTGCCCACCTCAGCCTCCCAATGTGCTAGGATTACAGGTGTGAGCCACCGCACCTGGCCCAATGATGAGCTTTTAGCATAGGGAATTTTAGGTTAAATTCCCACAGGCAATATAAGTTCTTCCATAAAATTCTTAAAGAACCTTGCTACTTCAGTGTAATGGAATTATAAATAGAAACAGGTCAAAATGTCAGATTTTGAAAAAGCTAAAATCAGACCTGTATCTTAGATATTTTATTCCCTCCTGAGGAAACAGGCAATTGAATTCTAGTTAGAAAAGCCGTCCCCAACCTTTTTGGCGTCAGGTACTGGTTTCATGGAAGACAATTTTTCCACAGACTTGGGTGGAGATGGTTTTGGGGTGATTTGAGTGCATCACATTTACTGTGCACTTTAATTCTATTACTCTTACATTGTAGTGTGTAATGAAATAATTATACAGCTCACCACAATGCAGAATCAGTGGGAGCCATGAGCTTGTTTTCCTGCAACTACAGTCCCATCTGTGGGTGATGGGAGACAGTGACAGATCACTGGGCATTAGATTCTCATAAGGAACGAGAAACCTAGATCCCTCGTATACGTAGTTCGTAACAGAGTTCACGCTCCTAAGAGAATCTAATGCCACCGCTGATTGACAGGAGGCAGAGCTCAGGCAGTAATGTGAGGGATGGGGAGCTGCTGTAAATACAGATGAAGCTTCACTAGCTTGCTTGCCACTCTCCTCCTGCTGTGGGGCCTGGTTCTTCACAGGCCACAGACTGGTACCAGTCCGTGGCTTGGGGCCTGGGGACGCCTGGGTTACACTGACTGGAGTTTGACTGTTCGGGTTTTGTTTCTTTTATTTGTTTATTTAATTTTTTTTTTTTTTTAGATGGAGTCTGGCTCTGTCGCCCAGGCTGGAGGGCAGCAGCACAATCTTGGCTCACTGCAACCTCTGCCTCCTGGGTTCAGGCAATTCTCCTGCCTCAGCCTCCTGAGTAGCTGGGATTACAGGTGTGCACCATCATGCCCAGCTAATTTTTGTATTTTTAGTAGAGATAGGGTTTCACCATCCAGGCTGGTCTCAAACTCCTGACCTCAAGTGATCCACCCACCTCGGCCTCCCAAAGTGCTGGGATTACAGGCGTGAGCCACTGCACCCGGCCAGACGGCCTGTCTTTTGAATCCTACTAGTTTTGTGAGCTTGGGTTACTCTATGCCACAAGCCTCCTCATCTGTAAAATGAGCACAATACCACCTAGCCATTGTGAGGAATAAATGAGTTGATATATGTGCATCACTCAGAATAGTGCATGATTTGTTGTAATTATGTTTGCTGTAATTAGTGTGATAATCTCTTTTTCCCATTGAATCAACCAACAGAAATAATAGACATAAATATTTCTACAGGTAAGTAAACTAAACATGAACTGAAGGAACCTTGAAGGAAAAAAGGCATTGAGGTGAGAGACTTTAAAAAAAAAAAAAAAAAAAAAAAAAAAAAAACGGTAGAAGAACCCGAAGGCAACTGAGTTTCCTCTCTGTGGTCAAGCAGCACAAGTACAGACAAACAGTGTTATTTCACAAACAGGATGGCTTCCAGCTATGTGTGTTACATTATATTCCTTTTGAAAGCTCATTATTTTTACCTGTTGTTTCAGCCCTAAAGGCACAGCGGGTCTAGCACAGATGTTTCTGGGGTTTTCCATCATTCTATACAGGAGCAGTCAACAAGCAAGAAGCCTTGCAAAGAGGTTTCTCACCCCTAGGGGCAAGGAAAAGTGCCCCTCACACTCCCCGAATGCAAACTCAGTGCATGCCTTACTCACTGAAGAGAAGACTGGAGCATGTTAAAGGATGGTTTAACTCATGTAATATTGTTTTTCTAGAGCAAAAACTCTAGAAAGTTGGTAATACATTGTATTACCAATGCATGCTCTGGAAAAACAATATTACAACCTGCAAAAAAAAAAAAAACAACACCCAGTGTATAAGAAATGTTGGAAAGTGCTTAAATTTATAATATGCACAATCTTAAAACTAGTACTGGGGCCTTGACCAAATGTGAGCTAGCTACCCATGACCTCTCGGCCACTTCATCACAAAAACCAGAAGTAGGCTGGGAACTGTGGCTCATGCCTGTAATCCCAACACTTTGGGCCGAGGTGGGTGGATCGCTTGAGTTCAGAAGTTTAAGACCATCCTGGGCAACACGGTGAAACCCCGTCTCCACAAAAAATACAAAAATTAGCCAGGCATAGTGGCATGTGCCTATAGTCCCAGCTACTCAGGAGGCTGAGGTGGGAGGATGGCTTGAGTATAGTCCCAGCTACTCAGGAGGCTGAGGTTGCAGTGAGCCAAGATCGCACCACCACACTCCAGCCTGGACAACAAAGCCAGACCCTGTCTCAAAAAACAAACAAACAAAAAGCCAGAAGTAGTGATTTGTGGTTAGCAGAGCTCCCAAAGTGTTCAGCAAGGGTTACTGACACTGCACTATGGGAGTTAAAGGATACTTTCTAGGTGGCAGGGTACTAAACTCTTTTTATTTTTTTTGAAATGGGGTCTCACTATGTCGCCCAGGCTGGTCTCAAACTCCTGGTCCCAAGTGATCCACCCATCTCAGCCTCCTGAGTTCCTGCATGGCTAGAGCACTAAACTATTCATCAAGATAAATTCTCCATATGCAGGCCGCTCAGAAACAATAAACTTAAAGCATTCCAGTCAGCCCTTGTGAATGGATAAGGACCTAGGAGGGCGGATGGATCAAGCACACCTCAGATACACTAAATAATCCTGATCCACCCAAGAGCGGCCTCTCAGCATTCACGAACTCTTCATTTTCCTAGCTTCCGTGGAGCACTCCCGCCTTGCTTCAACACACAAGCTCTGCAACAGGCCACGGCGCCTGGGCCCTACCCTTCCAGCTCCTGAACTTCCCCCTGCACTCCCACTCCCTCAAGAGCGATCTCCTCCTTGCCTCACACAGTCAAGGACACGCCTCCTTTGAGCACCCCCAAGCAGAGGGTGCGCCAGCAGACATCTGCATCCTCTGGCCTCTGAGGGTAGCATTCCCGGATGTATATTCAAGACCTGGTAATACTTCTGGGCCTTTATTCCTTGGATGCCATGTTTAAAAAAAAAAAACTCACTCATAAAATTCACGCCATTTGGCTACACTACTGACCTGTCAGTTGCTCCCCATCACTCACTGAAGTCTTGACAACTGGCTCACGGCATTCCTCTCTGGCCCAGCCTCACCATTATCCCATCTTCAAACTCACAGCGCTGACCCATCAAATGCCTTAGTCTCTCAGATCCTTACTTGTCAACATCGAATGGCCTTCAACAGCTCTGCCTTTGACTTCCTACTCCCACGGGTCACTCCCAGGTCTCCCATGCTAGAAACTCTCTACCCCCGAAATACAAAGACAAGATTCTACCCACTGATCAGCCTGTCACTCGGCAACTCCAACAACCCTCTTCAACTTCAGGGAGTCTCTCAACCCTTCTAATCCCATCTCTCCTCCCTGTCTTCAATGTGTTTACTAGCTGGGGTGGCCACCAGGGTCTACCGCTTCATTTCCTCTAACACTTACCTCTTTCATCTGATTATCATTTGACCTCAAAGAGGAGATCAACACAACAGTTTCCCTTCCCTAGCTCCATATCTAAAATGTGCTTCTGCCAGGGGAATCATTCTTAGCATGCAGTCAACTGGCTTCCAACCTAGGTTGAATGACCTCCTATACATACTGACAGCCCTTAGTAATGATACACATTCCAGTATTTCTCCCTCTACTTTGTCATTCTATATTACTCCTTAGCCCGACTGGCTCCCCGAGGGTAAGCACCTGTATGGTCTAGCATTGGACTTGGTATGTGGTCACTAAATATTTTTAAATCAAGAAATACAGCCAAATGTGCATTGTAGAAGTTATACAAAAGAACAGACAAGCTGAAAAGCCAATTCTCATTAATAGCCACCATTAGCAAAAATAAGATGCCAAGTGATACCAAAGAAATGTAAGAAATGACATATAGGGACACTGATTTATGTAGAATTTCAAAAGCTGTCTGGCAAAATACGTCATAATATTAATGTGACCTATAAATTCACAAACAATTTTTTAAAAAACATTAACAGGGAAAAAGAGCAAAATCATTTTAACTTCATTTTTTTCTTGGGTATATGAAAAATAAACAGTTCAAAAATAACTGATTTTAAAGTGTCTAAACTTCAGTTAAATTAGACAATTTGCTATAAAATCCTAATTAATGGGATAAAGAGGAGAATTAGAAAGAGAAATTTAAAAGTTAGAACTATTCCCCACTTAAGTCCAGAAGATAAAATAAGTTAGAATTGATTGTTCCCCTAATTCAGAAAACAAAGACCATTTGAATTCCAGGCATAAGGTAACAAATATCAGATAAGAGAACAGAAATCTAGAAGAAGCTACCTAAGGAACTAAATAAAATAAAGGCAGTTCCTTTCCAAATTTAGGTTCATAGACAAACTCGAACTTCCTAAATGCAACATCTGCATTTTCCACCTTCTAGTCAATAAAAGCAGAAAGAAAGAAAAAAAAGACTGAAATCAGCAGAGAACTGTTTTACCTGCATGAGTTTGGTGTCGTGTCCAGTATAAACAACTATGCCAAAGACCCACTGAGTATTTCTAAGCTGCGTACCTCTTAATAAGATCTGGTCAGGCCCCAGGGCAACAAGGCTAAAAAATAAAAAAAAAATTTAAAAAAATGATATTTAATGATAGTCTGGAAAATGAGCATGAGTTTTTCCCTTAAACATGAACCCACAATAAATCAAATGTTCCCTTTGCTCCAATTTGAACTACTTCACTGAGAAACACAGGCAACAAAGGTTATCACTGGCTTAATCTACCCCAAAAGGACCCATAGAAAGTTTTATTTTACATTCATCACTACACAAACAAAAGTGTTTTTTCTATAAAACGTTACAGGGAATTATATCTCTCATGATCTTGTTATGAAACTCAACACCCAGAAAGGAAGTTGCTAAAATAACAACTGAAGCTGACTCATTTGTAGTAAGTATTCTTATTGGAAGTATGATTATTGTTGTTATTTGTAAAATAAATCTAGTGTATTTTACAGACTATTAGAAGGGAGTAAAATCTTAAAAAGCAGCAACCTATCATATCAATGTTTTAAAGGATGAGTTAATGAGTAAATAAAGACCTGAGTGATAACTGAGAAATTCAAAATGGGGAACCCGTAGAATAGCTCTGTATGCTACATGAAACCAAGAAGCAGCCACACTTAGCTGTCATATTTATAATCATTTGGGTTGATTCCCATGATCAGGTCCTTCCAAGCCTTGGGTCGTCAAAATATAAAGGACACCCCAAGAGGCTGGGTTACAGGGTTAGCGGGGGTGCATTGGCCAGAGGCACAAGACAAAAGACGGCCAGAAGGTAGAAACTGCTCCCCAACATCAGAACAAAAGACAACTCCGGAACAACATAACAAATGCCAGAAGGACAAAGATAACAGAATATAGACAGGAGGGCACTGAATATTCTAAAGGAAGAATAATCAACTTTCTAAAAACAAACAAACGCTCCTTAGAAGAAGGTTAGCAAACACACACACACACACACACACACACATATTTCTGTAACAAGTGTATTAGCTTGTACACACCTCAGATAACTCTCCTCTGCTTTTCTGGACAATTTTATGCAGCTAAAACCATTTCTCCTGCCTAGTAGAGAATAGGCACAGAAAGAATATGCCACATGCTTTGAGCCTCATCCGAGGCCCTTGGGCTCAGGGTTTTTTTCTTAAATTTAAGGAAGCCTTCAAATTAATGGAAAGGGTATGAAATCTCACTGTCTTAAAATATTACAAAACTAGGAAACAAACACATTTTCCAAAGCTCCAGTAATTCTTAGTCACGTAGTTTAAAAGACAATGAAGAAAAGACACGTAATACCTTTTCCCATCTAAGTTCAAGTTTCCAGTGAAGTCATAGAGGTGGCGATTGGGCCCTTCACACTCTATAGTTCCAGATAACTTCATCAGAACTTCACGTGTTTGCATGTCAGCAGTGTGACTCAAACCCTAAAAGATTAAACCAAAGGAGGAAGTCAAACACAATCTTCTGTGCTTAGGGACACCATTCAGCATCCCTATGGTTAATCAAAAGGAAAAATAAGGCATCTCCAGTGCAATAATTTGGGGGGCTAACAAGTCAAACTGACAGCCCCTCAAGGCAGCCTTTTCCAGTAGCTTTTGCCACAGGGATCTAATGCGAAAGTGGCAAAAGAATGTCATGAAGCTGAAAGTTAAGATTCTACCACTGTGCTGGAGACATCCGTGCACAAGTAAGAATTAACATACCCCAGCACCTCACAGCAAGCATAATCTACTAACTGTATGCTAACACTGGTCATAAAGAAAGAATAGAGTAGCCCTTCAATAGTTTACACTATCTAGCACTCTTCTCTTTTTCTTTAAGAGACAGGGTCTCACTCTGTCCCCCAGGCTGGAGTGCAGTGATGCGATCATTGTTCACTGCAGCCTCAAAATCCTGGGCTCAAGCGATCCTCCCACCTCAGCCTCCTAAGTAGCTGGGACTACAGGTACATGCCATCATGCCCAGCTATTTTAAAAGTTTTTTGTAGAGATAGGGTCTTGCTATGTTGCCCAGGCTGTAACTCTTCTTTAAATGGGAAAAAAAAAAAAGTCTAAAGCAAATATCTACAGTAGAAAAGAAAGATATATGGACAGAATTGCTGAATTCAACTTTAAGCAGCAAACATTTTTTAAGTGTCAAAATGCTTAAAATTTTCTTATGTTAAAGACCATTCTTCATTCTTGGCCAGGTGCAGTGGCTCACGCCTGTAATCCCAGCACTTTGGGAAGCCAAAGCAGGTGGATCGCTTGAGTTCAGGAGTTTGAGACCAGCCTGGCCAACATGGTGAAACTCCGTCTCTACTAAAAAATATATAAAAATTAAGCCAGGTGTAGTAGCATGAATCTGTAGTCCCAACTACTCAGGAGGCTGAGGTGGGAGAATCATTTGAACCCGGGGAGCAGAGGCTGTAGTGAGCCAAGGTCGCATCACTGCACTCCAGCCTGGGTAACAGAGTGAGGCTCCATCTCAAAACAAAAAAAAGAACCAGAAAAAGACTATTCGTAATTCTAGAATTAAAATATATGGTAAGAATAGTTTTCTTTAAGGCACGGAAGTTTTGTATCTAATTATATCACCCTCTAGGATTAGAATCTTTATTAAACAATGATGTAAACTGGGGTACGTGGAGCTTTTCTGCTCCATTTGTCCACTAAGCTGTGCCCTTCCCAGCCACTCAGCTTCGCTGAGATGTCCCCTCTCTCCAGCATCACAGGCAGAGAGCTCAATAAGACGCTACATGAAGGCCTGACACCCTTCGTGACCTACAGTTTGATGCAGCCTGCTTTTTCCAGCTCTCTACATATTCACTCTCATCATAAATGGCATATTCTTCCCATAGATTCCATTAAGGCTAAGGCATAACCCTTAGTGGCTGAACATTTTATTTCTCTAGAAAAAGATGTGTGGGGACCACATTTGCAGTTGTGTCTACCATAACAACACAAGTCATCAGAGGTGACTTTACCTGACGTATTTTAAGGTTCGTCTCCCCATCCAGATTAGCTGTTTCAACATAACACATTGCCTGAGGTTCACTAAGGAGAGAGAAAAAAAGAGCCAAGTTTCATAAGGTCCTTTCCACAGATTCACAGCTTAGAAAATCTCCATTATGGAATCTATGTCTGCTGATTGGCCCTTCAAAATAAATTGTTATAAATAACCACTATAGTAGGAGTAATGGATGAAAAAGGAAACACACACTCGTCTTTGGGACTCAGCACGAGTACAGAGTCATTTGCCCAGATGATCTCCCCTTGTGAGCCCCACATAGTGACTGCTGAGCCTCAAGACAGGAATGAACTGAAGATGAAAGAGAAGGGAAAACACGTGATGTCCCCACTCAGACCCAACTACTGGGTTCAGGCAATCCTTCAAGTCTGGGGCTGGGCCTGACCGAAAAGGCTGCCCAAGGCACGGCCAGTAGAAACACACATTTTTTGAAGAAAACAACAGCCAGGGGAGTTGAAGGATCAAGGCATAGGCTTGGCAAGGCTTTGCTTCTATGCCATTTTTACAATCTTAAGGCCAACTTTTTAATCAAAACACCTAGCATTAAAGACAGAAAACTCAAAGAATAAAAATAAGCATAACAGATATTACACTTCTATTTCTGATCTTTGAGTTTAGCTACATTGACATAGTGATTAACCACCCCCTGCCTCAAAAACTAAAAAAAAAAAAAAAAAAAAAACCCTAGTTAAAGTAAAATCCCCTAGCACTACCTTTATGGGCTCTAAGGCCTCAGCAAATTGTTTAGTCTCTCTGTATCTCAATCTTGTCATGTACAAAGGAAGTCTATCCAGGGTTATTGGGAAGATTAAGTGGGACAACCTCCTCAACAGGCTGTTCGGCACACACACAGCACACACTCAGACACTAATAGTGAGCATGCTGGAAACATGATGTCAGCTCAAGCAATCCCGTATTAAGACCAAGTTAAAAAAAAAAAAGAAAAACTAGCTGGGCACTGTGGCTCACGCTTGTAATCCCAGCACTTTGAGAGGCCGAGGCGGGAGGATGGCTTGAGGCCAGGAGTTCCAGAATCAGCTTGGTCAACATCTACAAAAAAATTTTAAAAATTAGCCAGGTGTGGTGGCATGCACCTGTAGTCCCAGCTACTCAGGAAGCTGAGATGGGAAGATCACTTGAGCCCAGGAGTTTGAACTTACAGTGAGTTATGATTGAGCCACTGCACTTCAGCCTGGGTGATGGAGTAAGACTTTGTCTCCAAACACACACACACACACACACACACACACACACACACACACACAAAATTTTCTAGGGTCACAGCCAAGACTTAAAGTCCGAACTATCAAGTGATGAATATTTTAATATTTCTAAGAGATTCTTTGTTGTCAATGAATACGGACAAATACAAATCCTGCCCTGTGTTACTGGTTCTTTCTCCCTCTCCATAGGCCTGGGGTCCTATTTTTAAATCCATTATCTCAAGCAGAAAATTAATGCTTAGGCTTCAAATCCAATGAGTGATTAACTTCAATACAACAAATGCCATCTGCAATCAAAGAAAATGCAAACGGCCTGCGTATCTATGATTCCCAACAGTGTATAAATATAGGAAGTTATAGTCCTAACATCACACAATTTAATCTTGAATTCAAGAATAGATGTCAATTCTCGTCCTAATTTTGGCTTTCTTTCCTAGCTATAAACTTTCACGCATCAAGCCCAAAAAAAGTCAAGAATTGCACTGAGTGGTGATTCCTTCCTAGAATAAAACTACCTAGAGAAAGTGAAAATGATACTAGGACAGAAAAGGGGCAAAACATGGACAGATGAAGAGCAAACACCATCTGCTGGTCACAATTACACTGAGAAAACACCCGTGGTTCTTGAACAGCTATTAAAGTGCAGCACTGGGTTCTGCAGGAGAGACTGCTGGCAGGGCCCATCAGAAACAGATTCTGAAATCTCGGATATGCTGCAACCGGAGACCCCTCCACTGCTCTAGACTCAGTATCCCCATAAATAAGAAATACCCACCAAGTAGCCAGGAGACTAAGTGGAGACAATACACACAAAAGAGTTCAGAAAAAGCACAAAGGAATGAATGGGAGAAAGAAACCAAGGGTCATGGCAGGAGAAGGCAAATGACAAGAAATGGAAGAATGGGACAGAGAGAGGATGGTAGAAGGAAACAGGTAGCTCAAGATTGCTCCAGTCACTGCTTAATATTTTATGGTTCTTAACATTTATTGCAAAAAAAAAAAAAAAAAAAGGTGCCCGCTAGCACAGCTAACCTGGAGGACAGCAGGACCACATCTGCTGGAAGATACTGCCCGTTGACGACCTTCACAATGTCTCCCACTGCCACCTAGAGAGCCAGGGACGAGGACAAAGAGGCATGAAAGAAAAGAAACAAAACACACATGGTGAAAAGGTGCTTAAATATTTGACGAAAAAAATTATTATATAACTAAGCCATGAAGTTTAAGATGCAGAAACCCAAATTATTTTCCTTGACAAGAACAAAAGGAAAGTGCTTCCATGCAGACACTGGTAATGTTGCCTTTTTTGCAATGATGTTTAATAAAAAAGGAAAGGGAGAGGGAGTCAGAACAGCTATAAATTCTCGTTTTCTTCCAATTACCCATCCATTTACAAATACTTGAGCATCTCCACAGCTGTACACACTAGGGTAGAATGGTCACCCACACCCTGCCAGAGCCCGCCTAATGCCTGGGCTCGATCCCCACTGCACCCCCGATGAGCTGTGTAACGATGAGCAAGTTATGTAAACTCTGTGTGCCTCAGTTTCCTCATCGATATAATGAAGATAAAGGCACATATTTCATAGAGTGACTGTAAGGATCAACTAAGTTAACACACGTAAATTTTTCTCTGTTTTACAAATTGAGATGCAGAAAACAAAATAATTTGATCACAGTAATACAGCCACTGAGCGTTAGAACCGGGATTCAAAACTGGCAAGCTGCACAGAAGACCAAAGCTCTGATTAAAAGGCAACAGGAAATTCACCCATGAAAAGTGTGCCTAAAAGGCCCCCTGGAAATACACCATGTAAAATGGAGAAGATTTGTACAGCCTCAAGAAATTCCCAGAAAAAGGATCACGGCCAAAGTCAGAGACCACCTTGGGGAACAGACTCCACCAGACAGAAGATCCCAAGCCAAGGAAGAGGGCTGTGGTCTCCAAAACGGCACCACGGCCACGTGTCTACAAATCCTTTCAGTAACATCGCAGAAAGCACCAGGGTGGGGAGGACCGGGGCTTTCAAATCAGGCAAGCCTAACTCCAATCCTAGCTTTATAACCGTGTGCTGGCTTTGCGATCTCGGCAAGCTGCTTCGCCTCTCAGCGCCCCAGCACCTCACGTGTGAAACAGGAAAACAGCGCCACCGGCCTTGTAAGGTGAATGCAGTGACTAAGGAAGTATACACAGCACCTAGCATAAAGCAGGTCCATATAAATGTCAGTCTCCATCAGCGGGAGCATAACTGAAAGGACATGATGAGTGTGAAGGTCAAGGACATTAGAATTCTCTGATGATACTAGAAGACCATTCCTAGTACAGTAATAATTGCAAAGCTCAAAATGAGCACTTATGCTTTCGATTTCCTATTCTAGCCATGTTACTATTCCCTTAGAAACCAGGAATTTTAAGTGATATGATACTTGTGAAAAACTACCAGATCTTAGAAGCTAGCAGGTGCCCATGTTTAATTTTCCGCTGGGAAAAAGGCAAATTTACCGAAAGGTATCCTACTGGTGCTTTAAGTTGTTTATTGAAGTGTCTGGGGAAAATGCCACAAAGCTATTTTAACAACCACCAGTACAAAAGCAAGGGATGTTATGTGAATTGAAAGTGTTTTTTAAAAGTAAAACTATTTGGGCCAGGTGCAGTGGCTCACGCCTATAATCACAACACTTTGGGAGGCCAAAGCAGGCAGATCACTTGAGGTCAGGAGTTCAAGACCAGCCTGGCCAACATGGTGAAACCCTCATCTCACTTAAAAAAAAAAAAAAATTAGCCAGGCGTGGTGGTGGACACCTGTAGTCCCAGCTACTTGGGAGGCTGAGGCAGGAGAATCGCTTGAACCCAGGAGGCAGAAGTTGCAGTGAGCCGAGACAGCGCCACTGCACTCCAGCCTGAGCAACAGAGCGAGACTCTGTCTAAAAAAAAATAAAAGTAAAAATATTTCATATGAACAGCTTAATTACATATAAAAATCAGAAGAAGTAATTAGTAAAGAAAAAAATCACTCGAAAGGAAAATTTGTCATGTTTTCCAAAGAAACAAGGCAGTGGATTTTTTAAAATTCCAAGTGGGAGGACAAGAGAAATTATGGCTTTCTCTCATCTTTACTCTCTAAATAAAGCAACATTCATATTCCAGTAACCAAGTACTAAGAAGTTTTATGTACATGAGAAATGACTTACTTGGATTTTGCTTGAAAAAAAATTTTTTTGGTTGTTTGTTTTCTGTTTTTGAGACAGGGTCTCACTCTGTCACCCAGGCTGGAGTGCAGTGGCGCGATCAAGGCTCATTGCAATCTCCGCCTCCCATGCTCAAGTGATCTCCCACCTCAGCCTCCTGAGTAACTGGGATTATAGGCACGCACCACCATGCCTGGCTGATTTTTGTATTTTTTTGTAGAGATGGGGTTTGGCCATGTTTGGCCAGGCTGGTCTTGAGCTCCTGAGCTCGAGTGATCCACCCGCCTCAGCCTCCCAAAGTGCTGGGATTGCAGGCGTGAGCGTGACCAGCCTGGAAATGGTTTTCTATTTCATGTGCTTAAGTGATTGTTCCTTGTGTGTGCAACACTCCCTCAAAGAATTAGTACAGTGGGAACAGAAACCCTCCAGATCCCTGAATCCACTCTAGCCTCAGAGAGTTCCTCAAGTCTCTTAATTTTGAGGAAGTAGCTGAAAGATCCTCTCGAAGTCAATCAAAGTCACTGAGATCCACATGAGAGCTGCCTCTCAGTGCTCACCATTGACTCAGCTACAGCCCAGGGGACGGCAGACCTGGGCTTCAGCACTTCAGATTAGATTACTGTCATTTGGGGGACCTTAAGGACAGCCAGCTCCCCCTTGCCTGACATCTCTGCCCTCTCCTGTATTCTCATCCTCACACTGAACTACTCACAGTTCCGCAGCTAGTTACCCCCGATTCACCCTTCATGAGGCACTAGAGCGTCTCTGGAGGGCAGACTTTCCTGATCTGAACCACTGCGTCTAGATAGGTGCCCCCTCCCAGCTGTTCCCAAGGTGGACGCTTTCTCCTACACAGAGCTCAACAAGTGCCCTGCGACAGGTTAGTTCCCTCTCTCTCCCAGGACACCGATGGTTCGAGTGTGCTCCCTACACCATCGGCTTCAGCCTCAACTAATAATTTGTTTAAACGTGCAAATTCTAGGGCCCCACCCGAGACCCAGTGAATCAGATAGGCCGGGAATGGGGCCCAGCCATCTGGGTTCTAGCAGCCCTGTGGACGGTGACTGGGAAGCCCACTGACGTTTGAAACTCCTTAAGGGAAGTGCTGTGTTTCATTCTTCCCATGCCTAGTACAATCTCTAACACATGCCAGGAGCTCCACTGAAATGAAACAAGTATATACATTTTAAATGGAAATAAAAATGTATGTGGTACAATATAGAACCGGCGTTTCTTTGTTATTGTTTTTTCTCCCAAATGAACATTGGAAACAGTCATGAGTTTCAGGAGTCTGCAAAGCCGTCAGCTCCTGGACCATCAATCAGAGACCATCACTCCATTTTCTACTGTTTCAAGTAATGTCAGGCCCTCAGAATCCAAATCATTCTTCACTCTAGCTGATACTGATACCTTTCTGGGGAGGGAGTCACAAGAAGGACCCTAGAGAAATAGAGGGGCAATTTCCCAGTGCTGGGAGAACCCTTGAATTCCTTCAGCATTGGGAGCGTTTCTCCCACTGTGTGTCAAGAATTCCCAACCTCCTGACAAAGAACCATGACCTTTCCAAACGTGAGGCTGATGAACATTTGCAACACAGGACTTCAAGATTGCTGCAAAGGTAAAGGTGTTACTGCAAAACACTTTTATAAAGGAGAAATTTCTTTAAAGGGTGGGGGAATTCTCCTAAAACAAAGTAAAGTAAAATGAAAACTAAAGCAAATGCTGCAGTTATCATATTACGGGCATTTTTCAGATATAAAACACTATAAAAGGCATTTAAAAACATTGTTTACTAAATGTTTAGCAAGAAACACTATTTCAAGTTACCCTTCTAAAATGTTGTTTTCTTTTGAAATCATGTTAATCGGCTATGAGAGTCATCCCCCAACACATCCTGTGTCCATTAAGAAGATCCAGCTAAAACACTCATTTTATCAGATATAAAATACCCAGATGGTAAGGCAGATTTCTTCTAAATTTTCTACTCATCACCATAAACAACCAAAAAACCACACCATTCTTCAACCCTCTAAACCTCACACGTCCGGGGACGTGGAGGCAAAGCTTTCCTTGCTATTATCAAGAGCAGCTAACCGCTGTGCTAGAATGGAAACGGGGTGGTTTCTTACCCCCATTCCACCATTCAGTAGTTAATGACCTTTCCACCCAAAAATGTTAGAAGTGAGAATCACAAATGCTAAAAACAAAAATAAACTTTAACTTAGATTAAGACAACAGAGGACCAGGGAAAATGTTTCTCAAATTGGATTTAGAAACTAGAAAATACTTTGAGATTTCAGAAATGTCAATCAGGAGCGATGAAGTTCATAGCTTGAAGTGACACACTGGACCCTTACTAGAAGGGGCAGGGGACAGAGTAAACACGCCTCGGGTCTCAGCAGACCTCACGGAAAACTCTACCATGTCTCAACGCAAACTTCATACTGCAGTCAAGACCAGCCATTCATTACGTGTCTTCAAACCAATAGTACTGGTGCGTCTCTAAAATTCGTTTTTACCTCTTTCCACACAATGGTATGCCACACACCATTTCGTAACACTGAAAAAGAGAAAAATAAAATATTGGTTAATACTGGTAATAAATCGAACCAGTTTCCTAAAATCCAAAAGCCTTCCTTTAGAATTCCATTTATTAATTCTAACACACCCTACCTTTAGCCATGACGGCATAACATCAGATCCCCCACTCAAAATGGAACACCAGTGTATGTACCTCTGTAACATATGTACATTAATGCATACACATCAATGTTTATGTATGTAAGTTAAATCTACTTATTTTCAGCCCAGAAGAAAAAAAAAAGCCTGCTGTTCCACAATTTAAAAAAAAACTAAACAGCTGGGCGCAGTGGCTCATACCTGTAATCCTAACACAAGGCAAGCAGATAGGTTGAGCCGAGATGTTTGAGACTAGCCTGGGCAACATGGTGAAACTCATCTCTACCAAAAATACACGAAAATTAGTCAGGGGTGGTGGTGTATGCCTATAGTCCCAGCTACTCAGAAGGCTGAGGTGGGAGGATCCCCTGAGCCTGGGAGGTCAAAGCTACAGGGTACCATGATCACGCCACCGCACTGCAGCCGGGGGAACAGGAGTGAGACCCTGTCTCAAAAAATTAAACAAACAAACCAAAAATTGATGTTGTAGAAATAAAACAATAAGAAGTAGAAGATGGAAGTAAGGAGAGATTATAAATGAAGGACGTGAATGCTTAGACTTTTTATGGACATAAAAACTGTCTAGTTCCTGAAAATTACAACCTTTTCTAACATTCTAAAATACACAAATGCTGTTCAAATCTTAATTATTAGGACTAAAATCATGTTCAATTTGTTTTTTACTATTTCTTTAAAGTATTTTATAGATCATCTTCCCAATTTATCTCAATACCACTCAGTACTTATTTAAAATTCCTTAAATGCAGGCCTTATTCTTAAGTTTTCCAGTGGAAAAAGTGATTCAGCCTGGGATCTTACCTATGGTTTTCTTTTTGTTAACTGCATTGTCTGCCTTGTGTCGCTTCTGTTACAGAAAGAGAAAAAATAGTTCTAACAAAAGTTCCACATGAATAATTGAAATAGCAAACAAAACAATCAGGAAATTACAGGGGACAAGGAAACTAACTGCCAACAATGCTCATGCTATAAAAACTCAATTCAACAATTTTGTGATCTATCAGCACTCCCTAAGTTTAGAAGTGGTCTCCTTAGTTTCACTTATTTTATTGTGGTTCTAGCACTTGGAAGTACAAAACTTTTCACTCCTTGCTTTAGATCAGACTGCAATGATTATTCAGTATGATAAACCCAGCAACAAACAGCCAACTTCATTTTATTGATAAAGTAACGTTGCTTCAATGTGTACAGGTTGCGGATCCCTTATCTGACATGCTCGGGACCCGAAGTGTTTCATATTTCAGATTGTTTCAGATCTTGGAGTATTTGCATATACCCAATGAGGTATCTCCGGGATGGGACCCAAGTCTAAACATGAAATTGATTTATGTTTCATATTCACTTTATACACATAGCCTTCATACAGTGTTTATAATAATTTTGTGCAGCCATCACATGAGGTCAGGTGTGGAGCTTTCCACTTGTGGCATCATGTCGGCATGCAAAAAGTTTTGGATTTTGAAGCATTTCAGATGTGGGGTTTTTGGATTTAGGGATGCTTAACCTGTGTTATATTTATTTACATACCTATTTTTTTAAATATTCATTTACATACCTATTTATTTACATACCTATTCCCAGAAAGACGCATATATGTTTGTGAAAGCAAGGTGTGTGTATGTGTGTGTAAGGGGGGAGAGGAAGATCCAGAGACAGAGAGACAGTACACACAAATATATAGATACACTTTTTTTTGTGTGTGTACGTATATATATATGTACACACACACACACAAATATATAGGGGAGACAGAGTAAGAAAGAGCGAGAAAAGGAATATAGTTGTTGTAGCCAATGAACTTGGAGCTACACTAGGATGATTGTGAGGGGAGAAGATTCTTGTACAGTTGCCTCAGGCAGAGCGAGACAATGCTGCCATCCTAGACAGCACAGCAATCCTTCATTTGCTGCCCAAATTAGCAAGCTCTAAAGCAGGCTATAAGGAACATCAGTGATAAAAATCAACGGGGCTCCAGAGACCTAATATTTGAAAACAAAGTTTGAACTGTTTAGTGTCACTGTACAGGTATTTAGGACACTCTGAGTATACATTCCCTCCCCCAAAAAATATCATCAGGCATCTAAAAAAGCTGGTTAAGCTATAGCCCAATTTTCTGCCTTAAATATATCACCTGAGGCAACACGTAAGTTATGATCTACTGCATACAATGATTTTATTATCCAAAAGCAAAAACTTACAAAATCTTCTACAATCTCTTTGATGCCTGCAATTGTTAAAATAATGATCAATGGCACCAGGGTGGTATATCTTCCTGTTGGAGATACATCTGGAATTTGCTGGAAGATAAGAGACCACAAGTAGGAAGTTGGCACATAAAAATCCTCTCCATGAGAAGAAAATTATGGCAGTCACGCACAGTTCACACTTTTGCAGTTCTGTTCCATTTCTGTTACTCAAAAATAATTACCTTACTTTAAAAACCAGCTATGTATTTTACATATTTTTTTAAATTTTATCCAACATTGGTTATGTGTTTGGAACAGAAAAAGGCTTAAAAGTATGGCCCTAAGGCCACTTTTCAATGCCTCTCTCAGTCACTGCAATCATCCTTAAGGCCATACCGAAAGAAATCTCCCTGTATACAAAGTCAGGCTTGTTCACTCTATCGAACAATGACCGGAGGAGGGAAACAAACTATGTTCCAAGATGATAACACTTTAGCAGTTAAGGAACCTTTTAGCAAAATCTCATTTTACATGTAATTAAGGTTGCGAATTCCAAGGAACTGTTAAAAAACCATTACCTGTAATAAGGCAATGAAGAGAAAGAAGGCATTAGCAGCTCTTCTAATCTGCTCATACAAGAATCGAGGTAGAAATGTCAACACGCTGTACTTGGCCGTACTGTAAGTGCAAAGAAAAATAATACTATCAGTTATAGATGTAAACTCTAAAACACAAGAACAAGACAAGAAGTTTCGAAAGCTTTACAAATTGTTTTAAAAAAAAAAAGTATCAAAACTCAGAACAAGGAAATTGCTGTGCATCTTCTCCTAAAGAGCTTTAGTTTGTAACATGGCGCCCCGATGAGAAATTCTTCCAATGAGGTCTTTTTTTTCCATGTTGGAAGACATACATGTGCTTCTTTAATTTTCACACAATATAAGCAGAGACATCTACCCACCTTCTAGGAGCTACATGCTATGAACAGCAGGCGTGTGAATAATAATTTGATGTTCCCTCTGGGTACCCACCACAGATGTTTCATGCTTCAATCACACCTAAATAAATTCCATTCCTTCCACACACCCTTTATTTGACCACCTTTGCTCACACTTTTGCTTCCGCCTAGGATAGCCTGTCCCTTACACCCCACCTGTCTCTCCATGACTAAAGTGTCCTTCCTCCCACCCAATCTTACATCTTCTAGTAAGTCTGGTCAAATTTATAATGACTCTTCTTCATGGAAGTCCACAGTACAGTGTTTACACCTATATCGTATAGGTGTAATGCTCTGCTTTGCATTTTATCTATCCCCAGAACAGATTATGGGAACAAGAAGAATGTTTACTTCAATTCCATATGTTCCTAGCACATAGCAGATAGTGAGTGAACAGTGAAATAACCCAAAGGCAAAACGAACCAAACCAGCTGTGGCTGCTCACAGGTTTTATTCAAGTTTGCACCATAGAAGTACCTATATGATTCCTAGCTCACCCTCTGAAGACATCACTCTGAGCCTATTCTTAATTATAATATATTCTAGCAAAATTATCTAGCAGGTTTTTAATTTACAACAAATTAGAAGCACCACAATAGAAGGGCAAAGGGCTCAGGAGACAGAATACACCACAGGCAAGGTACACTACTGTGAGACTGGACAGCAACCAAGCCTGGAACAGCAGAGTAATACCAAAGCAGACTACTCAAAAATATAGCAGCCAGAGGTCATTTGATGGAACAAGAAATAGTCCCATTGCCAATAGTCCCATCTGCCACTGCCTCAGAGAAAATCATGTCCCATGGTACAATGGCCTCACAATTTCACAATACAGTGATCAGAGTTATCCTTAAAGACAAAATCATTTTTAGCACCTTCTACCTAAGGTGCTAAAGACATATGTGATGTTATATGAAGACCACTTTTTAAAGACTCAAAACTTAAACAATATGAAACTTGAAAGACTATCCCTGAACTAGCTAGAAATTTGCTGACATGGATCTCCTCCTTGTTTACATGGCCCTGTGGCATAACAGGATGGCACTGTGAAATTTTGCCAGACAGAATCAACTAGCTGACATTAAGCTCATTAAAAGGTAGGGAAAATACACCACACTCATGTATGTGATGGCTCACAATACAAAGTTAATTCTTACCTATGGCTCAGAGGACAAAATCAAACAGAATATCACGCATACCTCTACAGCAATCCTGACCACTGAAATAACACAATCAACATTTGTCAGCGAAAAACAAAAAGAAAGTTCACATACTGTGAAATAAGAGTGTAGAAACTATCTTGCAAGATGGCTTGATTATAACATTTGAACCTGAGATTCCATCTGTATAAACCAGATACACATGCACACAGTTGGCACATGACCCCAACGATATATGAACATTTTCCACCTGAACAAAATGCTGACTGTGCTTAGGGACCTACATATCCCTGAGAAGCATGAAGATGGAGAGTTGAGGAGAAAAGGCATCCTGCTTGTGGCAAGAAATGAAATATAAGAGGGTGGAAGTGGAGAGGGAAATGCATACTAACTTTGACTCTACCAGAACTTGAAAAATGAGCCCAAATGCTTGCATCCTGAGATAGAGTCAGCATGATCAATAATTCAGAGAAACTAACATTCAACCAAGAAAAGGTTATTGTGTGGCATTAAAATAATTGCCAAAATAGACAGCCATTAGGGGTCGGGTTACAGAATTAAAGATATAACACTACGAACAGCTGAAGGCAGCACCTGTCAAAATGAGTCTACCAGAATATTGCAGGACAGTGCTTCTTGAATATGAAGGTACATACCAGTCTCCAGGGCAGCTTGTTAAAATGCAGATTCTGATTCAGTAGGTCTGGGGTGGGCCTGAGATTCCACATCTTTAAAAAGTTCCCAAGTGAGTTCAATGCTGCTGGTACAATGACCACACTTTGAGTAGCAGGGATTTAGGATAGCTGCTGAGGAGGTAAATTTGTTCATATTTCCTATTTGAATTTAATTCAGCAGAGCACTGTAAGGTATAATACAGTGAGGTTTCTGGTTCCAAAATGGTGGCTTGGAAGCAAGCTGGCTGGCTTCATTCCCCACATAGAAAACAAAAACCAAATTTACAGCACTTAGATTATCACCACAAATATCCCAGAACGAAAATATGAGGATGAGACAGTTCTCAGTGCCACAGAGAAGTAAAAAAGCTCCAAGCAAATGGTAAGAGAATGGGACATCCATAGCCAAGACGCCCCTCTCCCCAATCTGCCGGCACCAAGCATGTGGAAAATCTCCCCCTGACCCTCAGTTTAACACTGGAAAAAAGGAAAATCAAGGTGATAAGCAGCTTCCCCATCATTTTGAGTTCCCTGGCAGGATACCTGCTCCTACCTCAACTCACAGGAAGCATGAGGAATGCCTGAAGGAAAAAATATCCCTGGGGACAGCCAGAGACAAAGTGGGGAGGCAGGACTACTATCCCCAACTCTGGAAACTTTACTTGATACGTTGGCTAAAGGAGATACCAAATAGGAGTGTCTGTTTAGCAACATCATGCTGTAGGAGGTTCACCCCAGAGGTCCCCTGAGCAAAAATCCCTACTTAACTTCCCCACAGTGCTAGGATATCTGCTTTGGCACTATCCCCTTTTGGGATGGGCAGTGCTCCAATTCGTTATTAGAGCGGAGACAAACCTGGGCTTAAGGCAGTATCTAATGCTGAAAAGCAGGCAGTGACCTAATGGGAAAAGAAAGAAATTCAACAGGTAAATAACAACGAATCTCTAAGCAAATATATCCAACAAAAAACAAAAGAAGCCAGACAAAGAAGACTGAAATAACTAATTCTCCAGTGCAAACACGTAGACATACATTCATACGTGACAGCAGCAAACAGGGAACCATGACTTCCCCAAATGAAGCAAGGAACCAGTGACTAACCCTAACAAGATGGTGATATGTGAGCTCTCTGAACAAGAATTCAAACTGGCAGTTTTAAGGAAACTCAGTGATTTTCAAAATAACACAAAAAAGCAACTCAAGAATTTATCAGAGAAATTTCATGAAGAGATTGAAATAATAATAAAAACAAACAGAAATCTTCAAACTGAGAAATATATTTGAGGAACTGAAAAACTCATTAGAGGCTGTCAGTAGGAGAATGAATCAAGCAAAAGTAAGAATAAATGAGCTCAAAAACAGGCAATTTGAAAATACACAGAGAAGAAAAAAGAACAAAAAGGAACAAAGATTGTCAACAAGATAAAGAAAATTACCTCAAAAGACAAAGTCTAAGAATCACTGGTGTTCAAGAGGGAGTTAAACAAGAGCAAGGAGTAGAAAGCTTATTCAAAAAAATAACAGAAAACTTTCCAAAACTTGAGAAAGAAATAAACATCCAGGTACAGGAATGTCAGAGAACAACAAACAGATCTGACCCAAATAAGACTTCCCCAAGGCATGTAATAATTACATTCTCAAAGATCAAGGACAAAGAGGATCCTAAAAGCAGCAAAAGAAAAGAAGCAAATAACATATAAAGAATATCCAATTCATCTGGCAACAGACTTATCAATGGAAACCAAACAGGCCAGAAGGGAGTGGAACAAAATTTTCAAAGTGCTAAACGAAAAAAATTTCCATCCAAGAATACTGTATCCAGCAAAGCTGCCCTTCACCTATGAAGGAAAAATAAAGGCTTTCCCAGACAAACAAAAGTTGAGAGAATTTACCATCACCAGACCCATCTTACAAGAAATACTAAAGGAGATTCTTCAATTTGGAAAAAAAAAAAAAAAAAAACACTAAATGCAAATAGAAAACATTTGAAGGTATAAAACCCACTAGTAAAATTAAGCATATGGACATACCCAGAATACTCTAATATGTAATTGTGGTGTGCAATCCACTCATTACTCTAGTATGAAGCCCAAAAGACAAATCTATAAAAAACAAAAACACATACAGCAACCTGCTAAGAAATAGGCAGTATAAATATATCCAAAATGAGGTAACAAAAAAATCAATATGTAGGGGAGATGGAGTTAAAACACAGAGGTTTTTTTAGTTTATTGTTTTTATTCCTTTCTGTGATCTAAGATAAGTTATCTCTTTAAAAATAACTTGTTACATCTACAAGATGTTTTTGCAAGCCTTGTGATGACCACAATGCAAAAACCTATAATAGATACACTAAAAATAAAAAGCAACAAATTAAAACATATTACCTAAGAAAATCACTTAACCACAAAGGAAGATGGAGAAAAGAAAAGAAGGATTGAAGGAAGGAAGGAAGGAAGGAAGGAAGGAAGGAAGGAAGGAAGGAAGGAAGGAAGGAAGGAAAGAAGGAAGGAAGAAAGCTGGTTATCAAACAATGAGAAAACAAGCAGAAAAATGGCAGTAGTAAGTCCTTACTTATCAATGATAATACTGCATGTAAACGAACGTAATGCTCTAATTAAAAGATATATATAGCTGAATGGATAAAGAAACAAGACTCAGCTATATGCTGCCTACAAGAAACCAGTATCACCTATACAGACACACATAGAATGAAAGAGATGGAAAAAGATATTCCATGCAAGTGAAAACCAAAAGATAGTAGGATTACCTATTCTTATACTAGACAAAACAGACTACAAGTCAAAGACAAAGAAGATCATTATATAATGATAAAGGCAATTATAAACA